TATAAAAATAACAAAACTATAAATCATGTAAAAAAATCGCAGAGGATGGTGTTAAAACTTTTTTTATATCTCAACATGGGTGTATGATACAGGATGTTTGGTAGTCCTATGACTACCAAACATCAATGATATTTTCTTTTTACTAAACGTTTCTTTAGAATGAGTACAATTTGTTAGGCCGTATCTCTTTAAAACTTTGTAAAATCGAATCGATTTTAATTATAACGTAAGTTTACTAGTGTACTTGAAAAAAAAATTATGATCTTAAGATGCGGGTACGTTTTTTAAAAATATTTTTTTATAAGGACGTATAAAGAATTGTTTTTCATAAATGTTTGACACTCTGTATATATTTCATATTTATTTGTGATTTAAGCTTGTTTTATAAGGTTTCATTAAAATTATCTGACTTAAAATATACTAAAAAGTATTATACTCATTCTGGTGGTACGTTTTATTTACTAATAGTTTTGTATGCAAAAATGTCTTTGTATACGCTTAATGGTTAAAGAACATTCAAAAATATATATCTTTTAAAATTCTCATATGTTATTTTTTTACATACAAACAAACTGTTGTCGTTTGCTTGTTCAAGGATATAATACGGTACTAGGAGACCGAGCTTAGCTCGGAACAAATAAACATTAAATTTATTATATAAGTTAATTAGCTAAATTAAAGTTACCGTATATATTACTAGCAGAGCACCTGTCCTTCGTACGGGGTTGGCATATAAGTATATGTGATATTATGCTTATTGCAGTTATACTCAAGTTTTGCGTTTGCAATGGGGGGGACACAGTTTCATTAAATTTGGTTCTATAAATTTACGGTATGATTTAGTATAACACATCTACCATAGCCATAATGTTCTACCACTGCACCTAAACAATATAAAAGAATAATTATCAAACAGTCACACAATATCACAAATTATTCATTCAATTAAAAACATCCAAACTGTAAACAACTCAACAACTGTAAATAACTGTAAACAATCCTACTTTGACAGTTCTCATTGTGTATCACAGTTTTTTGTTGCTGCTTAGTTCAAATTAGCTGTTGTCATGTATATGCAAAAACAAATTATAATAATAGTGCTGCAACCTGTCGATAAACATTATAAATTTTTAATGCTATTGCATATTATGGAACCAACAACTTGTAAAGTTGAAACAGCTGACTAAATTCTTTAATTCCTTTAAAATATGAATACTCATAAGGTTAACATGAAGAACCGCAGAGCCACTGGGGTGGAGTCCGGAAGGAATTTTGAGATAAGAATAGGCCTTTATGTTATTCTGGAATGTGATCTATCATCATGCCAAATTTCAGCCTAATCCGTCCTGTAGTTATTGTGTGATTGAGCAACACACACACACATAAACTCACAAACTTTCAGATTTATAATATTAGTAAGATAAGATGTGCGGCAATCAATAAAATCAATGTGATCAAATTTTAGAGGATACAAAGAAAACATGTTTAATACACTTTTACCTAACCCACCATGTTAAACTTCCCTATCCCAAGCGTGATGTATACAACTTCATTACTTCACGAGTGGTGTAAAGTTGAAAAAACTCACTCGGTGAGGTAATGAAACCCATTTAAATAACATTGAGTGCTTAACTTAAAAATATATCTCTATGGAGCCAACGACGTTCAACGCTAGAAATCAGCTGTGCGCTTGAATTTTATTGGTTATGCCTTGACGAATTTTCTAACCTAGCTTTTGTTTGTAAATAAACGTTACTGTTAGAAGATGAGTGAAATGGATAATGAAAAATATTGTTCGTAACCTCCTGTATTTTGTCGGGTCAGGTAAAATCTTGTACGTTACACGTTACGCAATAGCTTGTTTACATCACTTAGGAGAATTATGCACAACTTTCACCTGCGTGATGTAAAAACGCTCTTACTACACTTGTAATATAAATAGCTATTACAAATACATAGATTGTAAAAAAAACTCGTATCAGCTGTTTTTATTAACTGCTGCTACAAAAAGGTATTGAGGATAGCATGGTCACTTTCAAGGGCTGCATGGTGGAAACTGGATTTTTCCTAGCTCTGTGACCAACTCTAATTGATTTCCCGTGGCCAAATATATTAATAAATCCCAAAGCGCCCATGAACTTTTGAGAGAACTGCAAGTCACACCCCCATAAACCATAGACTTAAAATGTTCGTCATAATGAGAAATTTTGCGCAAAACTATCCATTATTTCATAAATTGCCCTTTAAGGTAGTATAATTCCTTTTTAAAAGGAACTTTCCATTTACAGTACCTAATGTAAAAAATATCTCAGCTGTACTTATATATTTGTTTGTTATTCTTTCAATTTATTACATTATTAAAATCAGGTGTGATTACTTGTTTGTATTACTGTATTCTGTTTTGTTTATTTCAGCTTAACCCAATCAATAGTTTTATTGATAGCCTACTTATGAAGTCAAACGGGGTGATTGGTGACGCAAAAGGTCCCACTAGAAATACAGGCCATGCTGCAGCGCGGGCAGCGCAACACTACGTCACAGTGGTCGATAGTTGTCCCTTTGTACTTAAATCTTAGCATTAACATCTGACAAACAGCCAGCTTATTTACCTAAAACATATGGGATATAGCAATAAATATATCAACAAATCTATCAACTAGTGTGATGTCATGGATCCTAGCAGCATGGCCTGTTTTTCTAGTGGGGCCTTGGGTGAAGCCACGGCCACCTTTAACTCCAGGCCGCGGTCTGGTAAAATTGGCAACGTTGCAAGTAGTGTTGTCTAGCGCCAGACGTCCCATAAGATAACATGGCAGAAGGGTGACACAGCTCATTAATTCACGTATTATTCATTTAAATTTAAATTGAACATGAATGTATTAAAAGATTGAAAATAAAACATTTGGAATTAAAAACCAAAACAATATTGAAATTGAAAATCTATTAGCCAATTCCCCATATAGGGAATAATAAGCTATTACTCATGGTAAGACCTGGACCCGGGACCGATTTACTTTTCATTTCGAGGTCCCTAGAGGCCAAAAACACCATCCGTTCAAATTCATACATTACACCTTTTTTACCTTCCCTGTTGCAGCAAACCTAAGTACTCGTTAAACTAACTCTATTTAAATGTGGAATAAATGTGATATTTATAAGGAGGCATTTTAGTGTAAATCCTATCAGGCTAATGGAAATTCGCTTAGTCTCCAGGTTTGCTGTTGCGGGGGTATTTGGTACTTTCCTGTTAAAGGGAACATTCATTATTATCGATGATTTTATTTCTCGATATATCGATATTATCAAATTGAAACATATCAGCTGACAACTACGATAAATATTGTTCAGTATCATTAAACAATAATGAAATGAAACTGTTCTAAAAAAAATTACCTGATATAACTAACCTAGTATAATAACCTGCTGTGTAACATTCCTTGTTTAACTTGCCTTTTCTGTTATCAAAAGGAATTTTTCAATAGTACAGCAAGTTTGGTTGGTTAGGTTAGGTTAGCTTAGAAAAGTTTCAATTCTTAATCCATATAATAGACTATTTTAGCCTAAACAAGATCAGTTCTCAATATGTAATGGATCGGTAAACAAAAATATCGATATATCGAGAACAAAATCATCGATAATAATGAATGTTCCCTTTAACAGGAAAGTACCTATTTTTATATTTAAAGCAGAGTCAATATTTTCATAACCGAATAACCAAGCTTTCATATTCTTGAAAAATACACAAATACCAATAGCTGCATCCACTTGCAATCATGCCACTTCGAAGGCCGCTGCCTGGTGAAGCCGTGGGTAACAGACTAGACTAACCATCACAACACAAGTAGACTTCCCATCCCATTGTAAATTTTGAAGCTCGTTTTCGTATCTAGTTAATGTCCGGTGACACCGGTGGCTAGTGTCAACGAAATTTTTGTTTCTATGAAAGAGTTCATTTCATGATTTGTGCTTAACTGTTTGGTTATACAACTAGAGGAAGAGATGTTGTTTATGATATATTTTTATTTGGTTAAACGGGGTTTTAAATTACAGAAATAACAAGAAAAAAAATTGTAAGCAAAACACGACATCTACAATGCTCCCAGCACACACATCGTGAAAAATTGACGGTTCCCTTATCTATGAGGACGGCGGAGAAAACATCGATGGTAAATGGTAAATGGCAAACAAATTCCGAAAAAGTGAGAAGTCATTTTAGCGAACTTTCCATATAGGGAATAAGCTATTACCATAGGTCTCATGGTAAGACCTGGACCCGGGACCGATTTACTTTTTCGTTTTGAGGTCCCCAGAGGCCAAAAACACCATCCAGCCATAAAATTTGGCAAATTTATTTATTTCATCACTGTTGGCGTTTAATAAAAAAAACACTTTTTACCTTCCCCGTAGCAGCAAACCTAAGCACTCATTAAATCTAATGTTATTAAAATTGGGAATAAAAAATGTCTTATTTATGGAAATATTTTAGTAAAAATATAATGAGGCAAGTTTAAATTCGCTTAGTCTGCAGGTTTGCTGTGGCGGGGGTATTTATCTATGACAGTGGCATTTAAGTTTTTATGTCAAAGTTAGTTTAAGGGGTTTTTTTTGTATGTTCTGGGAATTGAAATCGGCTCTTCCGCACCGAAGACTGAGACGCTAACCGGGAACTAGGCTAGCAAGCAACACACCTAAATTAGTAAACTGTGTGTTATTGTCGTCCGCATCAACGCATAGATAAGCTAAAACATACGCCATGTGAGTTGCAGTACATCAACCGCTCGCCAACATACATTGGTTCAACCCTATGAAACATTTTATTTGATTCCACTGAAGCTAAATTTTTAATTTGTCTTAAAAGTTTTATCGTGCTCCATCATGAAATCATTAAATTAACTTCCTATAGTATTGCGTATGATTTTACAGGCCGTTGACTTTGGTCACGTGCTTTACAAACGTGTACTCTGATTCTGTTGCCTTTGATGGTACCAGACGTAAGAACAGAAACTTCAGATTTTCGTGGTGACGTCATCAATGTTAATCGGTTTATTTCTACGTGGATAAACTTATTTCAGTTATTATTAATATTTAAATCAACATTTTATACAATGTTAAATTACGTGGTGTAGGAGAAAAGGGTAAGACCTACATTATACAATCGTAATTACTTTATATTGCTTACGTAGACAACATTATTTACCCAAATTTCCTGTGCCGAATCATTAGTCTGCAGGGTACTTAACTTATTGTCTAACTTCTAAACTTAATTATTAACTTACTTGCCTATCTTAAAATATCATAATTTGGGTTGATTTTAAAAAGTCAAGATATTACAAAAATTGTTTTCAATCATTATAAATTTCATAGCGTAAGTTATGAGTAGTTTTTGTCTTAGCAAACCTAGGCCCTAGCCAATGGAAAGTTCTGTGGTGTAAATTATTGTCAGTCATCAGGCCCCTAAAAGGTAGCTTTATACTTAGTAGCTTGGGCCGAGTAGCATAATGTGTTGATCCACTGATTGATAACTTAAGTTAGCTTTGCAGATTTTAGAACATTGTTGTAACTTTGACTAGGCCTAACTAATTACAATAGCCTAGCTAAAAAGCTAACCAACGATAGGCTAGCCTATCTAGGCCTAGTAATATATACCACTGCGGTTAAACTAGGTCAGGTTATCAAACCTTATTTTTCAAATCAATGGTGTTTTGGCTTCTAATAAAGTTTTAAATAAAGTAGGCCCTAACTTATTGTATCGTGGATTTATTATGGAAGCAATGATTGTAGAAATAACGGTAAATTAACTTAGTCTACCTCGGCCAAACACAACTTTTTTAAATGGCGACGGACTCATTGGTGTGAATTTTGAGCGGAATAAGGCCTAACTTATGCTGGATAAGTTAGGCCTAGCTAATGGTTATAACTTAGCAAAAGGTTGTCGTAAGTAAGATATAAATCGTGAGAAAAGTTGTAGCTCTTTGATGGTTTGAAAGGCCGGCTGCACACCTGATACACACAGCAAGGCGAGACGTCTTTGCCTCGCCTTGCCATGCCCGATGGAGATTTGAGATGCATACGGCACGGCACGGCAAGGCGACTTGAGCACCCACATGGTAGATCCCATGGTTTCAGTAAAGTGAGATACTGTGTGATGTGAGGTTGTTTCTTGTTTGTACATTTTGTGACACTTTACACTACCGTACACATTTTGTGAGAATGGATGCAGAAGGCGAAGAAGAGGCTGCTGCCATAGCTGCTATTTGGGACCTAATGAATGTAATGGATGATCTCCCTTACAGAGAATCGTGGGTGCATCCCATCAACCAAAAAAGGAACCGGAAATTGTTTCAATTCATTGCAGAACTAAGAGCAGATCCGGAAAAATTTCATAATCAAAAAAATTTCACAATTGTTGGTAGTGCACACTGATTTCGACAGGGGCTGTCACTGCGCTGAACGTGGTGTCGATCCTTGAGCATGCACACATCGTTTTGCCTCAAGCCTTTTGCCCGAAAGACGAAAATTGAAAAGGCAGTACAAAGCGCCGTGCGGCGCTGTTTTGCCTTGTCTTGCCGTGCCCGATTATGTGTGCGGCATCCCCATTTGAAATAATAGAAACCTAGTCGCATAAGGCGCCTTAAGGCAAAACGCCGTGCCGAATCGGGTGTGCGCCCGGCCAAACTGAACCCAGCTGTCCTGTTTCACCATAAGGCTTTAACCCTTGGAGCGGCCAACTGAACGTATCAGTCGGTTCCGGTCCGAAAATGTTGTGTAGGTAGGAACTTACCTAAATAACGCTGATAAATCATTGAAGTTAGCCTAAGAATATAAAATGAGATTATAACCTCAAAACTGAGTTTTATTCAAGTGTTGCTCAAAAGTTAGATGAATTTCATTTTTTAGTGTGTTGAGGCAGGTAAGTTATCAACTTATGCAAAAAGAACTGCTTAAACAATAGGCCTATTAGGCCTAAAATAAGCTAATAACCTAATAGCCTTATAACTTAGGCAATTGGGATATTGATTGTAGGCTAAATCCTCAGATTTTTGTATGTTAAATATTGGGAATGGCCAACTGACCGATCGGTTACAAAAGTGTAGGCCTATAGCTTTAGCGTAGGACCTAAACTTACTTAGATGATAAAACTTATTCCAATAAGGCTATAGGCCTAACTTAAGTACATTAAGTTAAGTTAACTTAACTTAGTAATTTTGAAGAGCAGAAAACGTCGTTGATTTTGGGTTTGTGGTTAGTAACAGTACGAAGGTAACAGTCACATTTTACATCTGGTAGTGAAATAATACAGTAGGAACCTCTTTAATCCGAACTAATTGGGACCGGGAGTAGTTCGGACTATTGAATAGTTCGGATTACAGAACATATTGTTGTTTTTACATAACAATAGCTAGGGAAAAGTGTAAAATGCTTTATAAATAAAATACAGTGTTTATTTAATACCGAAGTAAACATAGGGAATAAAAAATACTGTACATTGGAATTAAAATAATTACGGTGCGTATATCAATAAATACAGTTTACAATAAAGAGCTACTGTACTGTGTATAGAGTGCAGCAATGAGGCGTTCGGATTACAGGGGTTCGGATTAAAGAGGTTCTATTGTAGTGAATTTTGGCAAGAAGATGACTTTCCATTTGAACAGTGTCTACATTAGTGTATTCGTAACGAACCGTAACTTAACTAGCGTCTTTGCCGAGGATGAGTGTAACTTTGGCATTTATAATCGGTGTACAGTAGGCCTACCTATTACTATTAAATCCGTAAATTACCTTGTGAAAAGTGTTTGTGTTTAACAGTAGGCCTATGGCTAAATATTCATGCATTATATAGTCTAGATCATGAATATTGCTTAAGTGTAGGCCTACGTAATAGTGAAACATAATTTATTACAAAAAACACACTCCGTCAAAACATATTACTGTAACTTATTTGATTTATTTAGGCAAAAAAAAATTTAAGATATGCCCCATGTGTTATACATTTTTATGTACCGGTAGCCTATAGAATTGAGATATCTACGACATTAGTTACCTGACAAAAGTGGGCTTCCTTGCACTGATTATAGCATGCCAAGTAGCTAATTGATGCATTTATTTAAGTTATTCATTCCAATAGACAACACCGTTTAGCGAATTTCCCTATAGGTAAGTAGCTATTACCGTAGGTCTCATGGTAAGACCTAGGCCCGGGACTGATTTACTTTTTCATTTTGATGTCCCCAGAGGCCAGAAACACCATTTTAGTTTAAAATGTTATATATGTATATATATATATGTGTGTGTGTGTCCATCCGCACGATGACTTGAGTAATTTTTGTTCATTTTTTATAAAATTTGGATTGAAGGTGTAAGGCGAGATAAACTTAAATGAGTTTGCAAACCAGCATGATCGGACCATGGGAACGGGGTTTAACGGAGGGTTTTATGGGGTAAAAATGGGGTTTTCTCATTTTTTACGCTTAAAACACAAAATTTACCAATTTTTCTCCTGATCTTTTTAAAGAGCTTAAAAAACAAATAATTTAGTATATAAAAGTGTTTTTGTACGGTGGTTGGTTATGGAGAAAATTAAAAAAAAAATTAATTTAAAATTCCAATGTTATTTTTACGGAGAATATGTTGTAGTTGGCTTGTTTATGGATGTATTTTGACCAAACTTGACGGATTTATTTATTTTATACTAAGCTATTGATATTTTAATAAAAAACACACTTTATTAGTTTCCTTGTAGCAGCTAACCTAGGTACTCGTTACATAAATGTTAATTAAATAGATTAATTGAAAATCAATCCAGACAAATGGAAATTTGCTTAGTCGGGAGGTTTGCTGCAGCGGGGGTATTTACAATAACATATAGGGTACCTACATAATAAAGGTAATACAGGGTCTACTTACTTTTGCCAGATTCATTTTTTCCCGGCCCTCCAGTAACTTATTCCAACCAAACAACACACAACCGTGTGCTTTAATTACGCACGTAATACGTGTACGCTTGAAATTAAGTTAGCAACACTTAGAGATACTACGACTACGATCAGCTGGTGCAGTGTTTCCCATTTCGTTCAACGCTTGGATTTAGCCTAACCAAAAAATGTGTTGAATAGTGTTTGAAAGACTAATTATTTATGCTTTGTAGTAACTATAGAAAAAATTATATAATGTGTAACGCGAGTGCAAAGTGCCTTTGCTGCACTCGAGAAACTTTCCACACTCGCCTGTGGTTGTGCGTAAACATTTACTCTCATGTGCAGCAAAATGCCACTTCGCACACTAGTTACACAAATAACTAGGCCTAGTTATAGAGTTTTGAAGACAATAGGCCTGCCATTAGAAAAAATTCCTCATGACCCGCAATGGTGTGTGAACGCTCTCATATGGCTATGTGTACTTCTACGCCGCTAGAGCTATTGACTAGCTAGCCGCGACAGTTGCAACACTTGGCTGGGAAGCAGGCCTGGCGATGGTTTGCGACGCCAAGCTTGATCGCCGTCGCTGTACGCTCGTGTGAACTGTCCCATTTGATCCTGTGGTCTGCTTCCTAGTCCTGCTTATCTAGTCACAGCCTAGTCAGCTAGATATGTCGCTTATGTGAACCGTGTGTAAGGTAAATTATCAAGTTAACCTAATTTAGATGTGAAAGTAATGATTAAACTTAACTTTATTTTATTCCCTAGATGTAAAGCTATGCGACAGAAAAAATCTTGCCTGTTAGTTGCAATTAGTGGAGGATTCCGAATATTCCGAATAGATCTTGGAGTGTTCTTTGAAGAACTTGTGTATTTTTGCATATGTTATCACCATAATACAATTATACCCTTCATAACCATTTTACACTTAGGTAGGCCTACTTATATTTTGTATAGGCCCTAACTTCTTTTATTAATAGTTTTTTTTTTTTTTCAAACGGACTGCGAATCTGGGGCAGCAAGGTTCACGTCCCTGCACCGTTACTTGAATTTATTAGTAAAGTTCATTCTTGTCCTATGTTATCATCCCTCACTTTAAGTTACATTCCATTCAAGAGCCCAAACCCTATGTGGACAGACAAATGCAAGGAGAGGTAGCTAGCATTGGTTTTAATTTTAAAAATCTTTTTTGAGATCAAGTAGCCCTTTCTTAAGTATGGTTTTCTTAACTTTCAGACAGCAATAAATTTTTGTTTGTTTTACAGGTGGATGTGGGGTGTTTCAGCTTTAACAACGTATTATTATTATAACATAAAACTAGAAGCATGATGCATGACGATACTTCAGGTGTCACAAACTCCAGAGGAAACATAGTTTCCCAGGCATGGAAACATTTCCAGCAGGTACAGTAGGCCTACTATTAATTACATTAGTATTTTTCCAAATAACTTAAGTTGTACTAAGTATCTGCTACTAGTAATTAACCGTAGCCTAGTATAAAAACAAACCAAATTATTTTATTATAGTCTAAGCCTACTCCGTTCAACAAATTTTTGTGAATTTTGGGGAAGAATCTATCCCCTCCACGACTTGATCCTACCATTAAAACATAGCTCAGCAGCTAAGATTTATCAAAACCTCAATCAGCATTATACCTATATTAAGTAAGAAAAAGTGGCAAGGGAACTTCCCTTCAAACCGCCTAAATTTTGTGTGAACAAACTGTTACTAAAGCTATTGATTAATAATTTATTGTTTCACCAATGGTTCTGAAAAAATAATTTAAGTTATTGTTTATATTTGATCTTCAATACAATGAGACAGGAACACATTGCTGTATACTGGTATTTGATCTAAAGTGATTGTTGAATAAGATGGGAGTACGTGCTCCGCAAAGTAAATAAAAGAAATGTCTTATAACACTTAAAACATAAGTTATATTTAGTATCTACACGTATAGGCCTACTGTTACTCACAAGACGGTAAATATACGTAAAAGATGGTAAGTGGTGATCGATTTCAATTGGGCACTCCAATCATCATCAGACCAAGCATTCATTACATATCCTTTTTTACAGTTCTTTAAAATACATAGACTATCCACCATTTTTCCTATTGGATGGCCATTTTGTAACAGGTGTTGTGTGACATTCATGATCTGTCCGCTTTGTTGTTCCTCCACACAGATATGTGGTTTTTGAAGCGGTTAACGAAGTTCAAAGTCTGTCCAATGTAGAAGCTATCACAATTGTTACAGTTATCGAAAGCTTCTACATTTGACAGACTGTTTTAACCGCTTCAAAAACCAAATATCTGTGTGGAGGAACAACAAACCGGAAAGATCAAACGTCGCACAACACCTGTTACAAAATGGCCATTCAACAGTAAAAATGGAGGATAGTCTATGTATTTTAAAGAATTGTAAAAAAGGATATGTAATAAACGCTTGGGAATAATTGTATATTTTTAAGGAAAATGTAAAAATAGAAATAAGCTAATTAATGAACAAGTAAATTTGGACTACAGTTGTACTTTTAGAAATGTATTGACCGGCCAATAGGGCAAAAGTAGGGATGCCATTAAAGATTCTTGTCATTCGCCTATTAGGTCTGATGATGATTGGAGTGTCCAATCAAAATCGATCACCACTTACCAACTTTTACGTATATTTACCGTCTTGTGAGTAACAGTATAAGCGTAATGTTTTAAGTGTTATAAGTTATAAGATGTTTCTTTTATTTACTTTCCGTAAATGAAATAACACGTAGCCTACAACGCTGATCAAGAAGTTATATATAGCTCCTTATTTCCTGCTGCTATTGCTATTTTTTTATCTACTAACAATTTCCCGAGGTAATGACAGATAGGCCTGAATTCATTCATTTCATACTGTTGGTTCCCTACATTAAGAAATAATGTGATGTTTGATTCAACAAGTTTGGCTACTGAGCTAGCTAGAACAACTGGATGTAGCAGTGAATGAGAGAATTGTGTGACATTAGCCACCATTTGTACTAAGGGTTAAATACGTTGGAACTAGAGGATTGTGGGATTGTAATAAATCCATGAGCCAATGAGCTGGTTTGTTCCTCTAGTTAACCAACATAACAAAATTATACTGTGTCTTGATTTTCTAGCAGAGTTGTCGTGCCGGTGCCAGTGCTACCTCCAGTTGATTTCTATAGGTCGGCCGCTTAGAAAACGACCTCCTTCAGCATTGGTTTAGCATTAGTGCGCAGGTCGTTTTCTAAGCGGCCGAACTATAGCTCAGTGATTTTAGCAATGTTTTATAGCCTACGTTTACTAACTTGTGTTACCACTCCAAATCAGATTTTGAAAACTAGTTTTCTTACCCCATTTATGAGATACGCCATTTTTGTTTCTCCTAGTAGCTTGTTTAACTTAAAAAGGCTATATAAGAAATCATTTTAAACTTGGCATTAATTTGTTCCAGCGTTATCAGAAAATGCTTGATGATGTGACACCCTTTCTCACTGGCAGATGGATAGGTGCAGTGGTTTTAGTCATTATATTTTTAGGGAGAATATTCATCCTTCAAGTAAGTTAAAAGTTAAAACTGTTAATAACAAAACAGTTTTGGTGTTCTAATTGTGTATTTTCATAGACCTCTAACCATGTTCACTAGATGGTTAGATGGAACTAAATGTATAACACCCAAATAAATGTTTTGTAAAATTTCTTATTTACAGTGTAAGAGGCATCAAAGGGTGGTTATATATGATTTTTCTTACTATATTTGTAAGGTCTTAGAACAGGATAACTTACTGGTACATATTTTTTTTTGCTACCTTATAATAGGTACATAGTTTTATTTAGTACAGTGCACAATTCTAATTCAATTTTTTACTTTTCAGGGATGGTACATAGTTACTTATGCATTGGGCATTTATCATTTAAATCTATTCATAGCATTCCTGTCACCAAAGATCGATCCAGCGATCTCTGACTATGAGGGTAAGCAAAATGTATCGCGTTATCTTGGTAAGTTAGAGGTAGGCCTACATATAATAGAACCTTGATGACCCGGCATAATTTGTGGGGTGAAGATCGCAGTCAATCCTTCGTTTAAAAATCTATATTTTAACAACCCATAAGTAACAGTATGTGGTAATATATTTTACTTTATTTATATGTTTGCATATAAACATAAATGTCAATTGGATCTAGCTTAGGCTGGGACCACACTTGTAACTTTTAAGCAACAAGATAGGTTTTCCGGTTTTTTTGTGGAACTTATTGACCATGCCATTCACATCTTGAGCCGCATCTCCACTGCGCCAAATGGCACAGATCGTCATTGCCAAGCGGGTTTTTTTTCTTGGGTTTCTCTTTATCTTCACATACACTCACATTAAACAGATTGCCACGGGATCACCCAATCATATAGTGCTAAGCCATTATGTAGTCATACAATTCTAATGTAAATACGACCAACTGTGAAACTACTGGGATTTATCTAGTTGGATTGGTTGAGATTAGGTAGACTCTAATCCAAACAAAACTTAGCCCATAAGTTGAAAAAATAACAATTTTCTGAAAACCTTAGAGGTACTCAGCACAGAAAACAAGCTTTATTGTGCTGAGACCACACAAATTTCGTATCCAATAGGCAATGAGAACCCATGAGATTGATTAACGCGTGATTGATAAATTCACACTTGTTTTTCAATTAAAACTATGTTTGCAGACGACGGTGGTCCTGAGTTGCCGACGAGGGCTAACGAAGAGTTCCGTCCGTTCATCAGACGGCTGCCGGAGTTCAAGTTCTGGTACTCGGTCACCAAGTCAACTGTGATCGCCACCATTTGTACATTCTTTGACTGTTTCAACATCCCTGTCTTCTGGCCCATACTTGTCATGTACTTCATCACCTTGTTTGGCATCACCATGAAGCGGCAGATCAAGGTAACAAGGAGACTGTTATCTTCACATGGCTAAAGAGTTATACAGTAGACTCCCTCTTATTCAGACTCCTCGGGACCAAGGCCAGTCCGGATAACGGGGTTTCCGGTTAAACAGTCGTCCCCAAAGACTCGTTAAAACGGTCCATTTAAATGCATACTGTATATAGTATTTGACTTAAATTTAGGAGAGCATTGTGTTTAGAGACACGTGATCACTGGTCTCAAATCTTTTCCACAAGAACAGTTGTTTCAGTACCGCCCACTTCCTGCCAATCTAGTCCGCTTAAACCGATGTCCGGTTAAAAGGTATCCGGATAAGAGGGAGTCTACTGTATTGTAATTTATATTATTTGAAGAAGATTAGGAGCCTTCAAAAACTGACTGAAAAGTTTGTTACTATGCTGGAATTCGGTAGCCTCAAGAAAGACTGAATTTCCAGGAAAAGGAAAGGTAGCAATAGCCCATTCCTTGAGGTGTACTTGTACTGTGTAGTAATGGTTTCTACCTCAACCTATGTAACTTATAGGTACATGATGTATTTAGTAAGCAAATTTAATACTTGTTTAATAAAAACAATATTTCAATTTGACAGTGGTCACAAAAATGAATAGGTAAATATATTGTGGAGTTAAATACTCAGTTAGGTTTGTAGGATTTAAAATTAATTTTTTATAGCCTATTGAAAATTAATAGGCCTTCATTGATTAGTTGATTTATCAGTAAAGAACAGCATTCTTAAACATTTTTAGAAACACACATTTTTAGTTTGGCATGTCTGGAAAACAATTCAATCAGAACACTATCTCATAGGCCTACTGAGTTCCATACATCAAAGCCCTTTATAAACAAGTTTATACTAAAGAGCTACTCACTACATCCTCATGGGATTCTTATTTTGACATGAATTGATTAGTTGATGAAAATGCTCTGATGATCTGTTGTTAAATAACTTAGGTTATCAATTATCAATTATTAAAGATGGGGCGCCACTATGTGCGTATATTTATTTTAACCCAAATAAGAGTGAAGGCGCGATCTTGTAGTCTTGTTAGTGACTAAGGCCGACATGTTCCTTGGACACAGCTGTTAATTAATAGCCCATACAGCCAATGGCAACTAAGTAACCTACAGTTTATAGTGGAATCCGAACCAATATTTTTCCTTGTAATTTACAAATTGGTCTAATCACGAATTGATATAGCACTGCGGAGTGGAAGTTAATCCACACCAGGGAGCATCGAATCCACATTGCATGACTATAAGTATCCACAGTTTGTGACCTCCTAGTAGCTGGACTATAGGACGACGCCACCGTCTCATAGTATACTAGGTGAAACCAATCAAAATTGATGGTTACTCTTAATGTTTCGCAAAAATTCTGCTAATACGGTAGATAGGGTGGAGTTATTTAAATCTTGAATAATTATAACATATGATCAAGTATTGTTATCTGCCTTTCACATACGGGAAGCCCAAGCACCAGAGAGTATTGGTTCACTAGTCTAACACAGTTTTGTTTTGTTACAGCATATGATCAAGTATCGTTATCTGCCTTTCACACACGGGAATCCCAAGTACCAGAGAGTATTGGTTCACTAGTCTAACACAGTTTTATTTTGTTACAGCATATGATCAAGTATCGTTATCTGCCTTTCACACACGGGAAGCCCAAGTACCAGGGAGTAAGTGACACTGGAAAGGTGATTAACGCTAAGTGACAGGTGAACAAAAATCCTAACACGTCTGTTCTGTACCAAGCATTCCTTTTATTTGGGAAAAAATGAGGCCTAGTAGCAATTCTAGCATGATGATAGTTTGTGTCTAGCTAAAAAGCTCCCATTATCCTACAGGATTCGCCAATAGTGTGTGGTTAGCGGTTATTGACTGCAAAATTACACTGGAATTTATTTTTGTAACTACCTACACATCTCATAGTGATCAATGTAGAATGTAGATGTTGTCAATGAGTGTAAACCTACTTCAACGAGTGTAAACCTTGGTTAATTCAAACGATTTCGCGAACCAGCATAATCGAACAATGGAAAACAGGGTTTTATAGGGGGTTTTTTGGGGTCAAAATTGATTTCCCCCCCCCCATTTTTGACCTTAAAAAACACAAAATTTCATAACTTTCTCTCCAAACCATTTTGTAGAGCTTAAAAAAAGAAATAACTTTGTATATTGAAGCGTTGTATACCCAACGGTCACGGAGATAATTTAAAAGATTGTAAATTTAAAATTTCCATGTTATTCTTATGGAGAATAAATAAACTGTTGTAGTTTGCTTGTTTATGGATATATTTTAATCAAATTTGGCAATTTTGTTTATTTCATACGAAGCTATCAACATTTTAATAAAAAACACCTCAATATCCCCCCCGTAGCAGCAAACCTAAGTACTCACTAAAATTAATGTTATTTAATTTAAATAGGAAATAGATCTGAACATTCTTAGGGAATATTTGTTTAGAAATCAAGCCGGGTAAATGGAAATTCCCCTAGTCTACAGGTTTGCTGTGGCGGGGGTATTTTCGTCCACGCCAGATTGGCATTTTTTACAATGAAGTTAATTCAAATACTTTTAAGGGAAAGTGGTAATGATGTTGTGGGTGTGCCGGGAAACAAACTCGTCACTGAAGTGCAAGACGCTAACCACTAGGCGAACAACACACCCAATTTATTTGAATTAATGGGAGCTAATTAGTAACCAAGTTTAGATTTACTTTTTGTATTAATGGCTAGTCTAGATAAATTGTTGTAAAAAACAATTTGTTAAAAAAAATAATTTAGTAGATACAACTTGAGCATGGTAAAATATTTCTTGTAGGCCTATTTAGTAACGGCAAATCCTTCTGATTGTTTATATGTTAAGACTGAAGGTATACAAAAAGTTGTAACTTATAATAGTTTAAAATTTATAGTTGAAATGGAATTGTTTGGCTCAGAACATTCAACACAGAGTGCAATTGGGTTGCAAGTTTTATTTGTTTAACTTTAAATTATATGTTTGTAAATAATGTACAGTTATGTTTTAAGTTAATTATATAATATACCACAAATGGTTTAATAACATGCATGAGTGGTTTTTTAGAAGGTGTTAAATATATTTATAGTGAGTGTGAACTGTTTTCATTGTCTTGAAATAATAACCTAAAAACTTAAAATTGTAAATAAAATTGTAGATAATTACTTATCCTAGCTGTTGTTTTCTCCTTGGCCTAACAAATTTTATTTGACCTATTTTTTTTAATTTTTATTTTGAGACAGGGTTTTGGCACAATTTTATGTCAAAAGGATAAAGATAAACAGTTTGCTGATATTGTAAACTAGATCTATCGAGTTTCATGATTACATTTTCCAAATTCACTCACATTGATTCTGGGTTAATTGCTTCTTAAGAGTCCTTGGAGGCTAGCAGCCATCTTGGAAAATAGTTTTTCAAGCACCAAAGTGATTATAAGTTGGATATCTAGTTAACTATTAGATAGAGATTTTATTTGTTGTTTTGATTTTATTTCCAAGGGGGTCCATGGAAGCCAACGGCCATCTTGGACTTTCCCTATTCGCTATTTTCAAACAGCCGCTGAAGAGTTATTTACCTACCATCTAAAAATATTGTTTTCAAATACCAAAGTTATTGTAATTTAAATATCTAGTATAAAGTGGGATTAGAAATTTTTTTGTAGTTGTTTAATTGTTTTATAAGTTAGAACGTCTAGGCTCCAAGGACTCTTAATAACAAAGTATAATATCATTGTTTTTTTTATAGATGTTTACAGTTAACTTTAAATATAAATACCGGGTTTCACAAAAAGAATGGATCAAAAGTAAACTAGCATAAAGATTCCATTATTAAAGATAAAAAAAGAGTCAACTTTATAATTTTTTCCTCAACTTTTCATAGGTTTTCCTACCATGGTTTCACCACCTAACCTCACATATTTGCTTGAAGACGAATAAGTCGGTGTTCCAGCTCTGGCCACGCATTGTGGCGCATTTCATTAGATATTTTTTTTTTTCAAAAGCTTCACTATGTTTGAGATTGGTGAGAAAAATACTTGATCATTCACAAGCCACCACATAAAAAAGATCACACCACAGATTTTATTTATATATAACATTCAATACACTAAGCTTTCAACTGCAAACGTGCCAAGAACTATGGAACGGCTGATTACTGTGTTGAAAGGTACTAAAAAAACAAAGCTTTAAAATCAGCCATAGTTAACTTTTCGGCGACCCTTGGTAATATGTATATGAAGCGTAGATTTGAACCATTCTTTTTGGGACACGGTGTATATTTAGATCATCTTAACGTAAATACTTTTGTTTTGAAAAATTGCTAACCTTTGATACGATGCTAAATGCAACCAACTATTAACATGGATGTATGATTGCTTGAGGCCCTTTGAAATGCTTTGATTACCAGGGTGTTGCTGAAATTCTATAAAGATCAGGATATAGATTTGGTGGAAAACAGATAAAAGAACAGCTTCAGGAAAGCTATTGTTGCATTGTGTGAAAGTTAGGAAAACTATTGTTGCATTGTGTGAAAGTTAGGAAAACTATTGTTGCATTGTGTGAAAGTTAAGAAAGTTTTCCACAAGTATTTATTTACTATACTAGCAGCTATACCCGTGCCTTGCTACGGGGTCAGTATGCAAAAGAGTTAATACTGGTTCTTTGAAAATGCCAAATGGTTTCACTCCCTAACATTTATTGTAGAAACGAAATTGAACTGTATTAGCCTACTTAACTTGATAATAGTAATAGGTCTAGTACTTTTTTGTTAACTCATACTGTGAATACTTATTTAGGCTACCTAGGAAACAAAACCAATGATATATTTTAAGGTATAATAAAAGAACCTGTTTAATGGTTTGGACTGTAAACGAAAAGCTATCACAATAGTTCCAAACCTGTCAATAGTGTAGTTTTCTAACATATTTTAGGGAAATGACAATCAGTCAAATAGAAATTCGCTTAGTCTATAGGTTTGCTGCAGCAGGGATATTAAATTACTGTTTACACAAAAATAAATCTAAAACATAATTCTCATAAAACTCAGGATAAGGGCCTAGTTTGATACGGCAATGATTGTAGAATCTTAATTATATCCTATATCTATGAATAATTTCTTTTTACAATGAAATATTCATTATAAAATATTATTACAGCATATCACAAATATTAGAACAGACTCAGTATAATTGAGTATAAACATAAAAAAATTATGTAACTGGAAGAATCCTATTATAATGAAATGACATTAACATATTATGGTTTGACAGCTCCATTTTAGTACCTAATGTAAAATAATGTTTACATTCAGGCTAGTGACGTCATTATTTTAAATATGATCCCTACCCTCTCTGTTCTAATATTCATGCAGTATTTAAATAAATGTTTGAACCAGCTGTGTGGAATTGTGAAACCAAAATTCATTTGACAGTTAGTTCTGCTTGTTTACATTTTCAAACTTCGTAGGTTTGTTCTTTGTTACCATGGATACCATCAATCAATATTTACTTTTAAATCTCTCACCTCAAATTTTTGAAAGCCCACGGGGCGGAGCCCTAGGACAATATCGAAGCGGGAATAGTTCTATATGTATCATCAGAGCTGTAGCTTCATTTGTGTGCAATTTGAGACCAGTCGGTTCAGTAGTTTTTGAGATTAGCTCATACAAACACACACACACACACACACAGACACCACCTCTTCTTTATAATAGTATAGATTATTATTTTTATTTAAGTCTTCTTCACTAGAAACTTGTTGAAAGACATTCTGATTAGGGATGTGTCGATAGCAAAATTTATCAATTCTCGATAACGAAACCATCTCTTATAGTTTTATTAAATTTTCTGAATAGATTGGTTATACTACAACCCCAGCTTTTATGTCCATCCATTAAGTATTTTTGAGGTAGTGGTGTGTTTTTTCAAGTAAATAAAAAATGTATGCAGCAATGAAAAAGTCTTACTAGCCAATTTAAGTTTAAATCCATCAAATCACATTAAATAACTACCATATAAAAGGTAATTGAATACCTAACAATATAAATTAATAATAAAATGTTATTATAACTAGAGGTGTGCCAGCCTGATATTTTCAGTCAAGCCAAACTCAAGGTAATTTTGTGATTATCTCCCGCGGTCATGGAGACGTCATTGTCTTCTTCTAAGATTACTGCAAAATCGTGGATATCTTCCTTAGTTGTTGAAATATCAACACTGTCTTTTGTGGTGGCTGCAAAATCCTAAATATCGAACAGCGTTAACAGAAACACAATCATCGTCTCCAGCAGACACGGAAACGTTATCAACGTCTCCCGCTGTCGTGGCAAAATAAAAAAAAAATTACCCACTGTCGTGTAGACATTATCAGTGTCTTCCCCAAATGTGGCAAAATTCTAATCATCTCCGGCAGTCGTGTAGACATCATATTCATCTCCTGTGGTCCTGTAGACACCATCATAGTATTCCGTGATTATGGCAAAATCATGAGTATCTCTGACTGTTATGTGGGCATTATTATCACACTACCCCAACGTGCATAGATCGGCCGGTTCATGAGAGGTGTAAGTGAGGGTTACCTAAATCTCCAGGATTCGTCAGAAAACGGACTTATTGTTCATTAAAAAGTAGCACCCTTAAAAAAAAAACACAAGGAACAAAAAAAAGGGACAAGAAAAGAAGAAGGGGGGAGAAAGGGACAAGGTCTGACGAGGTTGTTCCTTCAAGGTCTGCCGTCTAACATTCAGTAGGTCACTATAATCATTTGCCTTTACAAAACACAAAAAAAATATCCTATACTTAAAAACTGGCAACCATGCAATTGTACAGTTTTAACCTTTTGTCATTTTAGCAAGATTATGAAGAGGATAATTTTTGTTTGGAATTTATTTAGCATATTTTAGGCTTAACTGCATAGGTTTTTTTTAATTGCCTGTGTATAAAAATGAATGGATGTCGGCCTGTGCTTTATGTGTTGCAAAACCATTAATCTGATTGCATTGAAAATGCAGTGGCTCTCAATGTGTCCGGGATTGTTTGTGTGGAATAAAGTTTGTTTAAAAGTCTATAAAAAACCAAGAAAACTAATATTTTACTTTAACCCCCATCACCCCTAAACCTGCCGCTCAAAATTGTGTAACTTTTTACCCAACAATACAGAGACTATATTGAACATTTTGGAGTTAAAAGAAACTTTAGTTTTGAATGTTGAGGTTTTGGTTTAAATGCACTGTACTAATTATGGTTATGGGATGAATGCCATTTCCAAACATCTCCGTACTTTACCTTATCATTCAGTATGCAAATGCTGTGGTTAAATCCTCACAACATAAAGTAGTAAGTAACTTATACACACACTGCATAAAGAGGAGGAAGAAAATACTATAGCTGTTTTCTGCTCGAGAATGCTTTTGGATTTTTATTTAAGGAATAACATTGGGGGTATGGACAACTCCACAGTAAACCCTTATTAGTCTAGATGATACAGTATTGGATTTCAAGTCATTCTAATGAAATGAAAGCTTGATTTGTGTGTCTGAATTTAAAAACACTAACAATCTACTTTTTACAATATTTTATACAAGTTCATTATAATTCTTGGCTCACAATAGTAACAATAACCTGCACATACCATCCCCCATCCACACTGTTGCACTCACACCATCCCACACAATGATGATCATGCTTTAGTAAACATCATGTAATGCATCTTAACTGTATAAAAATTTTTATGTGGCTGAATGGATTAGGAAATATATTCATCAGTGGCTCCCAAACTTGTTTTTGTGGCGACCCACCACCACCGTTAAAATTTGTATCGCGGCCCACCTAATAAATAATAATTGGCTCTAAATATTTATTATTATAAATTTATTAATATTATAATGTCCACCAAACATACAACATACAACTAAATCAAAATTGTGAGGATGAAGCTGAATTTTAAGGGAGGTTACCCTCTTACACAAATATGTCTTTACCACCCAATTTAGTTGAATTAATTCTTCCCGTTGATTTTACCACGGTATACATTAACAAAAGAAAAGATTGTAGCACACATTTCCTTAAATTTCAACAAAAATAATAACAACAATTAAATTATCCAGCTGATCATAATGTAAACAAATGTTCTTCATAAGAATAACATAGGGAATTTACATAATAAACGCATAATTGGGCAGAGCCCAAGGGCTTCTTCCAAAATGTATGGTCAGTTTGCAAATCTACACACTTAGACGAACATGTTGGTATATAATATATAATATGTGGGGGTTTTAAACAAAAAAGGCTTATTTTTCACAAAGTTTTATGTAGCGTATTAATAATAAAGATAGGTTATAGGTCACAAAAACTTGAAGACATTTTCCTTGATCGCAATATAAGAGCATTATTCATGCCCAAAAAGTCCTAATGAAGTATTCAAATCCATTCACAAAAATTTGGAATAAAAATGTTTCTAACAATTAAGTGTTCAAAATTCCTAGTTTTAAGCTACAAGACACATCAATCATGTTAATCTGTGAATATTATAATGTAAAGCCGTCCTTGCTACCCGCAGTACTATTTTTGTGCCCACTAGACCTTTTCGGTTTTGGTTTTGGTAATGAAAAATTACGAGTCCTATTAAAAATAAAAACATTTTCAATGTTTGGTCTCCTCCCGCGACCCATTAAAATTGCTCCCCCAGCCATTGGGTCACGACCTATAGTTTGGGAACCGCTGACTAGATCAATGAAAAGTTTACAGTATAATAAATATTTGTCATAGCCCATCACCTGGAGGCAATAAACCCCTAGGACGGCCAGTGTGCACTGCATGGTGTGATAGTAGCATGGCTAATTTTAACTGTAATACTTCATTATCTCCTCTACATCCTTCTTTCTACTTGTGTCTAGAAGCTGGAATGTATTCCTTCATCTTCGTTATGTTCCAAAACCTTTTTCTACTGTCTGTATATTTGTAAAAACTATTTCATTGTACATAATATGTATAGAAACAAATAAATTCTGTTTGTTACAGAGTGAAGCAACGTCGATGACATCTCTAGCCTCCTTGCAGTCTGAAGAGTCGGTCACTGTGTACGAGAAAACCTAACCTAAAACTGTGTTTGAGTTTGCAAACTTGTGTTCCAGGGAGCGCCAACGGTTCGTGAATTGTAACCCTTAATACTGCAGGATACAGTAACCTTTGCATGAATTTATATCGGATTATATTATAGTATGTTTCCTATGGAAATCAAACACAGTATTGGAACACAGACACTGACTGCATGAGTGTGAAACACCTCCAGTGATAACGGACATTTTATTAATGATTGTGTAAGATGTAAATTATACTATACTATTTTGTTTTCATTAAAAATAATGTTAAGTAGTTGTGTTTGTGTATTTTCCTGCCCTGTAAAATTTACCTATTCACTTAAGGTGGGAGGTGTGCTTTTTTAGCTTAAAATTGGCTTTTTTGGCAAATTTAGTTGAATTAAATGATGAAAAAATATCAGAAAAGCATACAATTAATTACTATTTTACTTTTAGTAACTGCAATAATTATGAACGCAGAAGGTCAATTTTCATGTAATCATTTTACTTTCTATCCCTATACGCTACCATAGTATATAGAGAAAGTATTCAAAACAAATCAAATCATATGTAGGCACTAATCCATAGTATCTCCAGGGTTTTTTTTTTATTTTGATTGTTATTCGTGATTTTCCAATAAAAACCCATAAAATGGCAGAATTTGTGTTTTTAATTAAGTTATTTATTTAAAATTTATTAAAAATCTAATGCTTTTTTATAAAGTGATGAGAAACCAACTTTACAAATTGCAAATTTGGTTAAGGGTATAATTATGAGTGAAAGGAAATGGAACAGTATAGTATTTGTATTTTTGGTTAACACTTTATGTAGGTTATTCCAGAGAGAGAAGTTCCATAGCGAGGTCACAACTTCAGCGGGCTAATAATTGTAAAAAAATCCACACTAGTGTATGAAAAGTTCATAAACTAAAATTAAAATAGTTATCCTTCGCAATTATGAACTTTAAAAACAAAACAAAAATTTTTCAGTAAGAGTTAGTTAATGTTGTTTTTTTACACTTAAATGCCATTGTTTCGAAGTTATCAACAACTAATAATTTATAATGCCTTATCTGTGATAATAAGTAAGCCTAACTAAAGCTACAAATTCCAGAAAGAAGAAAAACTAAACAATTGGCGTCTCTACTAAAGATTCACATTTAGAACAAGACACTAGGTTAGCTATACTCATTGAGAGGGTCTTGGGATTGTATTGATGTAAATGTTGGATATCACAGTTTGGAGTGAGAGTTGACGAGTTGCAACACCAGCCTGGCAGCATCACGGGCTGTGCCTGGGGCTGATGTTACCCCGTATCCACCATGTCCGTAGTTGTGTACTACCTGAAACACAATAAAATAGACATCAAAAGGTACTGAATTCCTGTTAGCACTTACATTATATGTATCTAACCTAGCTGATGTTAATGTAACAGAGTACAACCCATGTCTTTTGTAATCTGAAGTAGACGTCCTAACATTTGTTGTAGTTTTTTTTACAAACATAACGTAGTTGAATGACCTAATGGAATGTGTTACTGTCTAAAATTGGATATCCCGCCTCAAGGCTCAACCACACTGAACGGGGGAAGCGGGAGCAACGCGAAAACAACGGCGAGATATGAAAGGGCATTCACCAACACAAATCGTTCGTGCGGGATACTTTCGCAGCGTCCCACCTGGGTACTGAATGCAGCGTTTTCCCACGCGAATAGAGCGGGAACTAGTCACATACCACGTGTTTACTCGGTAGGCAGTGCTTTGTTAGTGTGGATGTGTGTTTAGAATTTTCACTATGCGTAATTTATCAGAAATGTAAAACCCTTTTTTCATCCATTCGGAGATGTGGCATCAGCGTGTGATATTCCCCATCCTGTTCTCTCTCCTGGTTAATAGCGTATACCCACGCTCATCCCCAATTTCATCCTCAGCCAAGGCGAACAACAACAAAGCCTCTTCTGGAAGATTGTGCTGTTTCTGCATTTGATTGGTCTTAACAGTATAATTTTAACACTATAGATGTTGCTATACAATCAAACTTTTATTTTTTTAAATCTATACCTCCCTCTCCATGCATAAAGAAAGATTATCTAACATTCTGTTACACATTTTGTGACATAACACTAAGATAAGAATACCTTGGATGAACCAAACCACTCCGGCTCCACTCTGACACAATGTCTGTAAGGCCTCAGTCCAGCCCACTCCCAAGCTACAGGTGCGGATTGCAGACTTGGCAGTATGGCTGAGCACCTAGCTTTGATACCTACAGAGTCATGGGCCCTGTTAAAACAAATGTACATACTTTACACACCGGGAGACACTTTCACACTGAAATAAATTTTGGAAAACAGTTAGTTGTTAGTAATTTTTAACCAAGAGCATTATGATTTACGAATAGTCAAGTAGAGAAAAATACTATGAATTTGAATTATACAGTTTTAAACAGCTTAGGCTAGAACGATCTGTATGAGTATAGAAATTTTGTTCATGTATACTAGAACCTCTAATGCTTAAACAATTTCAGACTTTACTTTTCTATCTGTCGAGAATGTCACAGTAATAATTGGACTTGATTTTTATCTGTTAAGTACAGAAAGAAGTTGGAAAGTCGTTTTGGATATCCATGCTGCCAATTTACTACTGCACCCTCCAAACTACAGAAAACTGTTTAATCCATAGTGTTAGAGGGATTGGTGGACCCAATATCTGTCTAATTACCCTGTGTTTAGATAACCTCTACGTCAATCTAGAAGGTAAAGGGTTTGAAGTTTTAGACATTTACATTTTTTTGAACACCAGTAGACTGTCCATTCCTTTTCCTAACCCTACAATTCTCTTTGATCCAGAGGTTGTCAATATTATAGTAAAGGAAGCAGTACCAATCTAGCTTGCGGATGCCATTTATACACATAGTACTTTACTACTTTGCACCAAATACAAGTGTATCAAGTAACTGCAGGCCCTGTGTTACCTGACAGTAGGCTCCCACACGTTGTATTGACATGTCCCTCCAAGTGATACCAAGCCGTCTCCGTTGGGTATTATGTATGTGTCAGGACCATCGCCGAACAAGAATTTATCTACTGTCGGTGCTTTCACCTACAAAAAAAAAAATGTGGATCATAAAAAATTATAATAAAATGTTTATGTATAAAAGTAAAACTCTTGTAATAATAAAAATGGATTCAAACTATTTTACTGAATTCAAATAAATTGAGTAAGTTAAACAAATTTTCTGTCATAGAGAATAACACAGTTTATAGCGTACAATAATGTTATACACTATGAAGTGTACGATTACTGTAAACTAAGATTTCAAGGTTTAAGTAATAAATCTGCTTTGTCATGTGCATGTAGGTGAATGATATAAAAATTACAAGTGTATGAATGTTAGTTAACCTTGACTATCTGTCCCCGGATGGGAGCAACATGGATGTCGTCGCAGAGCCAACGTGCCTGTAGTCCCGAGCAGTTGACTACAACGTCGTAACTCCCTGACAACTCCTTCAGATCCTGAACTGTCCTCTTCACCACTGTGGCTCCTCTCGACTTGATTCTTTAGGGAACAACATAAGGATGTGAACAGTTGAACGTTGTTACTAGTTAACAGTTTGCTAATATCTATTGATTATCAATTTTTAAATTATAGAATGGCTTATATCAAATCAAATAATTTATTCAGCCAGAATTAACAATATACAAGTTGTATTGGATAAGTCAAAATGAAATAAAAGTTGGATACATATACTTAAGAACTATTTACAAATATACAATCTTAAACAATACTAGCTGAACCCGGCAGACGATGTCTTGCCTTTGACTATTTATAATCCCGCGGGCTTTGCCCCGTTTAACTTCTTAATTTTCAAGATGATCTCGTTCGCATGGCTCAATCACGTCCTGGTTGAAGTTCGTTCGCTACGCTCACTCACCTTAAGGTTGGAGCTCGTTCGCTACGCTCACTCACCTTTAGGTTGGAGCTCGTTCGCTGCGCTCACTTGCCTTCAGGTTAGCTCGTTCGCTACGCTCACTTGCCTTCAGGTTAGCTCGTTCGCTACGCTAACTCGCCTCCAGGTTGAAGTTTGTTCGCTACGCTCACTCACCTTTTGGTTGCAAATTAGCTGTTGTCATAAATGTAAAAGAAATAATAGTGCTGCACCCTGTTGGTAATCCTTGTAACTTTAATGCTATTGAACATCATAGAACAGAACCAACTTGTTTAATTGAAACAGCTGTTAAGATTCATTAATTCCATTCCTCATAATGTTAACATGGGAAACTCCAGAGCCACTGGGGCGGATCCGATTGGACGGATCACGAAATTGATGGTGTATAAACCTATTCTATGACATTCTACACGTATGTACCAAGTTTCGTGGCAATCGGTTCAGCGGTGTCTGAGTTTATCACTGCCAAACAAACAAACAAATATATATATACAAACATCCTCTTTTATACTTATAGATACAATGGTGCAGATTTATATATAAATATTTGCATCACTATTCATGGAACTGAGTTTAGATGAAAATTATTGGACGCAGTTACAGGTAAACTTAATCAACAAAGATTTTAATTGTCTTTTAAATTTTAACAGGTTTGGTTCAAGTTTAAGAAAAAGTGGAAGTGAATTAAAAAGTGTTATGCCATTGTACAGTAAGTGTTTCTTGAAGAAAGTTGTTGAATGTTTAAGAATAGGTAATTAATGTGTGTGTGAATTGCGCAATGTGTATTGGTTTTTTACAGAAAGGTCAAATTTAGAAAATTCCTGTTTCACAAATGTTAAAGATTCAAGAATGTAAATGGATGGGAATGTCAAAATCTTTGAACTGGAAAAATATTGGAAAAATATATAAAGGGGTATGTCCAGTATACAGGACAGTTCTTGCTTAAGAGTTATTGACAGAGAATTTGAACCTATGCTAGAAGTATCTAGGACAGAAATCCAGCACTCTTCCAACAGACCAGCAAAGTACAATTTTATTGATAAGTTAACTTATTCAGTGTTGAATGAAGGATGAACTAATAAAAAAAAAATTAAAGAAAGGATTAAGGGAAATAGTGAGTAATTTTTAAAGCAGTTGTAAAAACAATAATGAATTCCAAAAAGGTCCTCTTATACGTATAGTCCCTCATGATGTCATCTCTAAAAGCTGAACATTATTTTTCCAGGCAATTATGATTTGCCTAAAAAAGTTATATGATCCAGGAGGATGGTTTATGTGTACGGTCACAGAAAACATACTACAGTACTATAACCCAGAATGCCAACCGTATGGTAAAAATCATTAAGTGTTTTGAGAGAGCTCTGCCTGTCAATCCGTAGGCAGCGCCACCAGCGTTGCTATGATGAATGCATGGCAACGCTGGTGGCGCTGCCTACGGATTGACAGGCACAGCTCTCTCAAAACACTTAATGCGGTTGGCATTCTGGGTTTATAGTAGTATGTTTTCGAATTGTGGATATTTATAGGGATGCACTGTGGATGCTATGCTCCCTGGTGTGGATTAACGTCCGCACTAGTTAGTACTACGACTATCCGCAGTATTATCCTGATAATTAGACCAATTCGTAAATTACAAGGAAAAATGTGGTTCGGATTCCACTATAAACTGTAGGTCCCTTAGTTGCCATTAGCTGTATGGGCTATTAATTAACAGCTGTGTCTAAGGAACATGTCGGCCTTAGTCACTAACAAGACTACAAGATCGCGACACTCATCCAACACTCATCCTTCACTCATATTTGGGTTAAAATACGCACATAGTGGCGTCCCCATCTTAAATAATTGAATTGAATTGAATTGAATTGAATTGTGGTACGGTATATTGTAAAACAATTTACTGAATAACTTTTTTCATACCGTTCAAGTAGCCAAGGAAGGAAAGTTCTACAGCAAATCAGTAAAGTCGTCATGAAGGAGCCATACTTCCAGTTGCCAGGATATTGCAGAAGTTCCTGATGTGTGGCAGGTCGGAACTCTGCCGCTACTCCTACCATCAGCTCATTCTATCACAGTACAATTGCATTATATCACACACTGAAAAAACAATATAATTCAAACTTTTAACTGCCCATCTGTTAATTCACTATTTTGGTTTTGGCCTCTTTATCCTTGATTATTTATTCAGTTTTTATTTTATTTTTTTATCACCGTATATTATGTGTAACTTGAGTTGAATTCTGTAAATGTGTGCTGAATTCAAACTATGTTTGCATTGATTTTTGTTTTACAATTTGTGGTGTTGGTCTTTTATTTAAAAGTATACACAATTTTCCACCGCCACGATGGTTGTTATATGCCTCTCATCCCTTGATCACTGTCATAGAGTCGCATAGATGACTACCTAAGTATAGGCAACACTTTTGCCACTGATTGTAACCTTCTACGACCTTTTTTAACCCATCATTATATGAAGCCCATGTTAGGTATGAATAAAGCTCCTTAACTTTACTTATTCTGTCTGCAGGAACTCAAAAGTGGCCAAGGAATGGAATTTGTGTTGTAGGGGTATTGAAAGAAGAAAGTAAATTAAACTTTTTACTGTTATACATGTTCCCCATTCTATGAACAGTCATTTAAAAAAATCATCAAATCTACTATGATTTATTTACTCTTTGAAAAGAAAATTAAAATTTATGTAACGTGTAGACCATTTTCCTTTTGTCCAAAAAACAATCTAGCATTTATGATCTTAATTTCTTGATATGAAAAATATACTCATATTACCTTGACATCTTCCTCTCGAACAGATGACAACATGAATCCAGAGATTTCATAAACTCCACAGTTTTCTTGCAATAACTGTTCATAATATTTGTAAGAATATGCTATCCAATCTCTAAAACAGAGAAAACTCAAAGTTCAACATATATAGTGCTCGCGATAGTGTCAAAGGTCGCCAGTTTCATCCTTATAGTTAATACTGCTGAATATACCTTTTGATAGGATAAAACTATGGGCCTGCCCAGCTGTACTTGATCAATCAATCAATCGTTGAGATGGGGACGCCACCTAGGTGCGTATTTTAACCCAAATATGAGTGAAGGATGAGTGTAGAATGGTGTGTGATGACCTGTGTAGCTTTGTTACTGACTAAGATCAGCAGTTTCATTAGTCAGGATCATTTATTTAAAGCCCAATGATCAGGAACAGTATCATCATCCAGGCTTTTAATATTGGCCCTGGCTAAAAATCTGCTGATTTCATTCACTAACAAAGTCACAAGGGTATACAAATTTGTATTTCAGGCTGATGAATGTAGGTGTTTTAAATTCATCAGCCTGAAATGGACACCTTAGATGCGTGGGGTTGTATTAAAGTAAATAAATGATACCTAAATAAAAATAACTATTCCGTACCTTTTTCTAAAATACTACTGTCTCAAGTTGTTCTTGAACCTGGCTGGGTTGACCAAAAATACCGGTATGTTTCAAGATGCTATGACTTACTTTCAACTAATTTATCTGACACTTTTTTCACACTGCAAACAAATATATTTCCCTTAATATCTATTTTCTGTTATTTCAGCTTACATTTAGGTTTTCACTAATATTATTGAGATTTGACAAATAAATTTTAGATTTACCTCTTAAAAGTCTATATATACCTATTATGTGACACCTAGAATCATTATTTATATTTGAATATATAGGTACCTTTGAATATGGATTAAATAAACATTCCAGTCACTCTTTAAGTTTTAGCCAATTTTAGAATGGAAATGTGTATTGGAATTTAGCCACTCTGACCGAGTTGCTGATGTAAATCATTGATCTTTGGTTTGTTTTGAATCTCCAAACTGTTTTACTACTTTTTTACTTTGTCACTAAGACTAACTGATAAGACATCTTATTGTAAAACTGTGGTAATTTTAATGTCACATAAACTAAGAAATACCCCGTAATATTAAACAAATAGTTGTTTAGAATTTTCTCTGTACCGTTAAACAGTATGAGTTATGGTGTTCGCTCACAGACACATTACATTGCCAATATCTCCAATATAAGTTAACACATTACATTAAGTTTGAAAAATAGTGTTTTGGCCGCTGCGGACATCAAAATAAAAAGTAAATGCATCTCAGACTAGGTCTTTCCATTCTACCTACCTGGTAATAGCTTCCTCACTACAGCAAAATTTGCTAAAACTAAGGGGGGGCGGGGTAGAATAGAATTTTAGACTGTTTAACACACTATATGAGTGGTTTGTTCAACTATGTTCTTTGAACAAAAATTGACTACAACTGATCTGTATTCTGTGGTGTGGTGACTTATATTTAAAATAGTTGCACAACCCCAATAGTTTCCAATTGGTATCTCTACATACTTAGTGATATCAAATGTGGGGCCTCTGAAGTTGGCCGCTGGAAGCAGAAGTCCTGCCGCCCCGTCACTTGTTGTGTCTCCATTGAACTTATCAGCAATAATCGTCACCTAAAACAAATTTTGAATTTCAAGAGCACTTCTCAGTTTGATAACTCTGATCAAACATAGTCACGGTAAATCCATGGGTCATTTAAAGTCTTTGGAATAGTTTACTTCATATATAAACAATTAATAGATTTCAATGTGTGGAAATTACTCATATATTGGTTTCCCAAAAGAATTTGAGTTTATAAAATTGTATCTGATCTTCAGCCAGTGAAGTATATGGAGTGCCCTGGGTTCCATATTAGGTCCTTTTTTATTAATTTGTTATTTGAAAAATATTGAATCAACAATAAACTAATATCCAAAGTAGTCTATTTGCTATATATGCTGATGACTCAAAATTTAAAATATCTGGGAAAACCATGGAACAAATTGAACTCCTCTCAAATACTGAATTGGAAAACATAGAAAATTATTTTATTTGAACCAATAACACCTCAAAATAAATTCAAGTACTACCCACAGTTGGTCTGTGAGGGTCAAAATTATTGAAAGATAAAATACTACAAACTTTCTTGGATTGAAGATTGATGAAACCCTGAGTTGAGATCAACACATACAAGGAGTACTTTCCAAAATTAATTCAGGGATACATGATCTTTCAAAAATGTCAGGAATTTGTGATACTGAAACTAAGGGTAATACTTTTCATTCATCATTCCATTCACACATATTATTCGGTATATGCATCTATGGTTCTGCGAACAAAACTTCTTTAGATATGATTTTTTTAACCAGAAAGATTTTGAAATAGAAAAAAGATTAAGATTAATTAAAAAGATTAAGAAGACTTCAAAGAACAAACATTTTAACAGTTTGTGGGCAGTTCATTTTTTATTCAATCACGTAAAATAATCCTTCAAAAGTAACTCAATCAAACACACTCTTACAACACACAAGAAGTGGGAATAAAATCCAGACTGGTCAGCATCGATTAAAATGTTTTGAAAAGAAAACAACCTACACATTGGATCAAAATTTATGAAATACATACCAAGTTATATTTAAAATAACAACAATTTCAAAAAGGTTTCTTGACTGAAAGCAGGGCTATATGTACCCCCTTGAGTATTATTTTAAAGGTGCTGGTTAGTTAATTTAATTTAGTCTTTTTAGTGCATATGCCTAAAACCATTGTATGTAACAAGTTTTGTTCGGTATTTCAAGATTGTTATTATTAATTTTATTTCTTTACTAATGAGTTATTTAACTTTAGTTTTAAGCTTAAGCAAAAAAAAACTTTCAGAAATATTAATAAAGACATAATAATAAGTTTGTATTTTCCATGAATTCATACACCGTAGATCCAAAATGGGAGAGTAATACCGTAATTAATTGAGAGATGTTTTTTTAAACCATACATTTTATTTTATTTGTATTTGTATTAAGTGTGACAGGTTTAGTTCGAATTCAACCAACAAAGTATTGAATAACAGCATTTTTACCTGTGCTTGAGGCAAGAGTGACTGAATATGGGCAGCCGTGGTAAGACCTACAATTCCTGCACCAACAACAGCAATCGTTGGCATCGTGGCAACTGGTTTAGCTGTTATCGCCAATGTATAAGCTGTAGTGATAATGAGTTTAAAAGGTCGCACAATTTATCATTCAATTCAAACAAGAGCAAAACACCAAAAATGTCTTTGTTTCTTATGTTTAAGATGTTAATTGATCATACTACTTTACTTTTAGTATTTAGCCAAGAAAAAATCTTAATATATTATATTATAATGTAACTAATGTCTATTTTGGTGTGTAAAAATGGCAAGGTAGATGTGAACGCTTGAAAACCGTTAAATGTTCATTTGATGATTTTAGCGAATTTCCCATAGGGAATAAGCTATTACCGTAGGTCCGACTGATTTACGGATTATTAACCTGAGACCGATTTACTGCGTTTTCGTTTGATGTTCTCAAGCCAAAAACTCCCACCCATTAAAATCCATATACTTATTGGATAATGTTCATATGTATGGCTACTGTAATCATCATCAACATCATATACAATGTGTCCCACGAGAGGTGTCTCAAATTGATTACAGAAAAACGGCTAAACCTACAAGGATGAAATCATGAAATAAAATTATTTTCCACTAAATCGAACCCAACGAATAACGTAAAAATATTTTTAACTTTTTCCCATACCAAAGCCAACAACTCATGGTCACTAGTTCGAATCTCAGAATTTTCAAATGTAAACATATGTTATGTTATACACCATTTTAAAGGTATTAATAAAAAAACATTTTGGCGAAAACAGAAATTATTTTTTCCTACAGTTACCTAACAATGTACATGTTCTCTCACTGTTTTGAGAAAGCAAAGTGGCCAATTCGCTCATCAGTGAGACAATGTTAACATTGTCTCACTCTAATTACTTTGTCTCACTCCAGATTTGCAACGTGAAGGCAAGAAATAGTGAGCGCGAAACATGCAGGCAACGTCGTATGCGCGCGAAATACGTTGGCAGCACTGGCTGTAAACCAGCTGGTCAGCTGTTGTACTGTTTTATTTGTCACTTCACATTAAATGTTATATTAAAAGTTCACTTCTGTGTAAAACTAGGTTATGTTTCTTCACCAATTTATTTGTTTTATGGTAACTGTAGGAAAAGTATAAAGCTGCGCGCGCACTACGGCGGCACGGCACGGACGGGCGGGCGTCACGGCAATTTTTAAAAGTTAATAACATTGAATGTCATATGAGTGCGCCCACTACGGCGGTACGGCCGGCAACGGACGTTCGGCAGCTTCCGCCGTTTGTTAAAAAGTCCGGGAGACAGAACTCCAGGACATTTCCGAGCTGCCGTGACGCCCGTACCGCCCGTACCGACCGGGAGCACTGCACACCGACCGGGCGGGCGGCACGGGACATCCGCCATTCTCAACTGATCTCTGTCAAAGTAGCAGTGTTTTCGTGTGTTGTAAACATAGATGTTAGTAAGTTGATTTTTCTCGTTGAGAAAACCAACAAACTGTACAACATGCGACATCCGGAATATTTTAATAACGTCCGGCGTGACAATATATGGACAGAAATATGATCTATTATGAAACAATCAGGTAAGTTTTACACATAATCCTTCTACAAGATCAGGAAACAAGGTGTGGAACTCTCCAAAACTTAGCTTTTCCTGTTTATGTGGTGTATCTAAAATCTTTGCTTGCACCTTCTTGTCACCTCTTCCTCTGCTAAAATTAAACCTACTATCACCACTTTATCTACATCCATCTTTACTCAAAATTTTTAGCTCGCAGACTGTCAACTGTCCTAAATTGCGGAAGTGCGGATGTCCCGTCCCGTCCGTCCGTGCCGTGCCGCCGTAGTGCGCGCGTAGCTTTAATGTGCAACTCGAGTGCAAAGTACAATTGCCTCACTCGAGAAACCATTCCTCACTCGCCTACGGCTCGTGAGTAAGGATTTCTCTCGAGTGAGTCAATTGCTCATTTTTCTCACTAGTTGCACAAATAACTAATCTTTTTCCTACAGTCACCCGACAAAGTTGGCTTCCTTGTACTGTTTATAGTACAAAAAGCTAATTGCTGCATATTTATACTTTGCCGTACGGTTTATACTTTGTCGTAGGTTTATACTTTGCCGCACATCAGGATTCCAACAAAACAACACAAAAAACAGCGTGGTTCTAATATGCACGTAATCCGTGTACGCTTGGAAATAGGTTGGCAACACTTAAAGATAATAATACTATGAGCAGCTGATTGACTATTATAACTATGATTTAACCTGTCATTTCGTGTTTATGGTTTCGGTTCGGTATTTCTGAACTTTCTGGACTTTTCTTTTAAAAGTTTTTAAAACATTCCTACGATCTTAATAAACAAGAAAATACCTTTAAAGAATTTTTTAGGTGCGGAAACCACTTCAAACTACCAAAACATACGGAACTATATTCTCAAAACGCGGAGCACATTTCTTGCCGAGGAAAAATAGCGGAGTGATACGGACCGGGTACTACTTTCTCTAGGGCACCTATTTGTGTTGCCAGCTGAACCTAAAAACGTGTTGTATAGTGTTTGAAAGACTAATTATTTATATGCTTTATAGTGACTGTAGGAAAAATATAATGAGTAACACGAGTGCAAAAGGCCTTTGGTTCACTCGAGATCATTCAGTTACACAAATAACTATTTCCGTTTTAAAATGGCGGCAGTCTTTTTTAGGAAAAAATCAATATTTGTTTAATACTTTGTGTTTCCTATACCAATGCAGCCCTTCTCCGGTTGAATTGTCTTCCTTATTATGAAATTATCTTAACTCTAATATGCTACAAGTAAGTAAAGTTTTTTTTAGAAATAAATTATTATTTTTTAAATTTGCAAATGCCCATATTGTTCAAAATTTTCAAATAGAAACATATGTGTCAAAATAAGGCACATCATTTTATAGATTTTTTTTTAAATTTCGAACAACTTTGTAATTTACACTTACTTCTTTTAGTTTTTGTGTAACTAACAAAATACCTAATTTTTCTATATCAAATGCATGTTATTTGGGTTTAACACAAACAAATCTTTTTTGAAAAAACGGGTCCATTAGTGTTAATTTCAAATAACATAAGGTCAGTTTAGTTTTATATTTTTTCTTAGTTTTATAATTAACTAGCTGTTACCCGCGGGCTTTGCCCCGTTTAACTTCTTAATTTTCAAGATTATCTCGTTCGCATGGCTCAATCACGTCCTGGTTGAAGTTTGTTCGCTACGCTCACTCACCTTTAGGTTGGAGCTCGTTCGCTGCGCTCACTTGCCTCCAGGTTGAAGTTCGTTCGCTACGCTCACTCACCTTTTGGTTGCAAATTAGCTGTTGTCATAAATGTAAAAGAAATAATAGTGCTGCACCCTGTTGGTAATCCATGTAACTTTAATGCTATTGAACATCATAGAACAGAACCAACTTGTTTAATTGAAACAGCTGTTAAGATTCAATAATTCCATTTCTCATAAGGTATAATGGGAAACTCCAGAGCCACTGGGGCGGAGCCCGAAAGGATTTTTGAAATAATAATATGCCTATATGTTAATCGGGAATGTGAGCTATCATCATGCCAAATTTCAGCCCAATCCGACCAGTATTTTTCGCGTTCACTTGTCACAAACATACATCCATACATCCATACATCCATCCATACATCCATACATCCAAACTTTCTCATTTATAATATTAGTAGGATTTTTTATTATTTCTCATTTTAGCGAATTTCCCTATAGGGAAGTAGCTATTACCGTAGGTCTCGTGGTAAGACCTAAGCCCGGGACTGATTTACTTTTTCATTTTGATGTCCCCAGAGGCAAAAAACACCATTCGTTCAAATTTTTATATAGGTATCTATATATATATATATATATTAATAATTGGAAACATTATAACAACATTAAGTACCCTTTTAAATACATTTTAATTAAGAAACGACATGTTTCGACACTTAGGTCATAGTCATGTTTTTATACAAATACAATAACAAATTAATCAGATTAATTAATAAGATTAATTTGTTATTCTATTTGTATAAAAACATGACTATGACCTATAAGTGTCGAAACATGTCATTTCTTAATTAAAATGTATTTAAAAGGGTACTTAATGTTGTTATAATGTTTCCAATTATTAATATAGTAGTAGCCCTAATCACAACCATACTTATTATATATGTGTGTGTCCATCCGCACGATAACTTGAGTAATTTTTGTCCAATTTTGATAAAATTTGGTTTGAAGGTGTAAGGCGGGATAAACTTGAATGAATTCGCGAACCAGCATGATCGGACTATGGGAACGGGGGTTTATGGGGGGTTTTATGGGGTAAAAATAGGGTTTTTCCATTTTTGACCCTAAAAACACAAAATTTCACAATTTATTTTTAAACCATTTTGTAGAGCTTAAAAAACAAATAATTTAGTATATTGAAGCGTTATTATGCGCCTAACTGTTACGGAGAAAATTCAAAAAAATTGTAATTTTAAAATTCCCATGTTATTCTTATGGAGAATAAGTCAACTGTTGTAGTTTGCTTGTTTATGAACACATTTTGATCAAATTTGGAAAATACATTAATTTCTTACTAAACCACAGTACCTTTTAATGTTTTACATAAAAAAAATTTTTTTACCCTCCCTGTTGCAGTAAACCTAAGTACTCATTAAACTAATTCTGTTTGAATAGGGATAAATGTGATATTTTTAAGGAGACATTTTAGTTTAAATCCAATCAGGCAGATGGAAATTCGCTAAGTCTGCAGGTTTGCTGCGGCGGGGGTATTTTACTCTCATTTTGTCCGTATTAAAAAACTGCAGCTGAAATAAAAATTGTGCTGCCCGCCGTTTTTTAGTGTGGCCTTGGTGCCCGCCCCGTTGACATTCAGGTTCAGTTCAGTTCAGTTCACTACTCAATTCGCTGTTCACTCAACTCTCATTTGGCTCAACTCATTCTCCACTCCACTCCGACTCCACAGTGACGAGTGACAGTGACAGAATGTTTGTGTTTGTGTTGTTTGTTGTCTGACGACGATACGATACGACTGACTGCGACCAAGCGGCAAGCGTGCAACAATACGGTAACCGCGTTTTGTTTTGTATCAATTTAATTTGCATCTCTGTTTTAGATCACTATTACACAGTACCTAGAATAATTTAATGTATTAACTATAACTTTAATTAATATTACTCTGAGATATTATTAATAAATTCTAGGTGATTGTTGTTTGTTTTTTAATTTGCGTATTACAGGAACTGCTTTACTGGATCAGTAATTAATAATACAGTAGTACTAAACAATAAGCGACTGTAGACAGTTTAGGCTCATGTATATTGTTCACATCAAGGACTATCTCGGACTTTTAATTTAGGCCTACCAAGAAGCCAACGTTTTAAGTTGACTGAAAAAGTTGATGTTGATCGAACAATAACACAAGTTTTAGAGGTTAGTACTAGGCTAAGTTTAGTATTACCTTATTACCAAAGCTGCGTTGTTGACCAGCATAGCTGGATAAACTGCGTCAATTTTTAAATATAAATCAAGGTAAGCAACAATAGTAGGCTAAGTTACTGTGTAGAAAGTCAGATTGGGTTGAGACATGGTTGAGACCATAGACCTAGGCTACTAGCCTATGCTACATGGTCCCTACTTATTGAACTGTTCAGAAGCTTTTGTCGAGACTAGGGATGAGCATCGATAGGTCAACCATCGATCGTTGCGAAAACATCAATGTTTTTTCATTTTTTTGTCTGCTCTCTGAAATCTCCAGTACCGTATTGAAAAACATCGATATCTCAATAGGCCTACTTGGCCGAAAACATTGGCCTCTAACATTGATGTTTGACGAAAACATCGATGTAAGTTAACAAAAACATGAGTAACTTAGGCCTAGGGCCTACCGGTAACCTGATGTAACATAAAACACAACGTAGGCCCTATGTTTTGAAAACATCGATTAAGTTATCAATGCTCATCCCTAGTCGAGACCAATCATCTCTGTGTGGACGAGGATAGTAAAGTCCTAACCAACAAGACCAAAAAATACATTTTAATGGGATGGCACCAATCAAATGTAAATCATAAAGAATTAGGGTGTTGGCTAAAACTGTTTAATTTATCAAGGCTTAATTTAAGTCAGTGGACATATAGGTTGAAATTCTCATTTCGTTTAGCCATTGAATTAAATCATTTAGGCCTCAGAGGCCTATTTGGCACACTGGATTGATGGAATGCATCTAATTTTAGGCCTAGGCCGATGGTGTAGCCCTAAACAGCTCCCCACAAGATGATTGAATAGGCCTACGAAATGTGTTGTTCTATTAGGCCAGAATAAACAAGTTTGGAGCTAGGGTCAGGTTTAAGAAGGTCCTTATCCTACGAAGCACAAAGACCCCTCAAGCCAATGACCCTTATAGAGTTTTTTATATTTGTGTTTTCCAACTTATAGGTTACCGGTACTTAGGCCTATGTAGGGTAAACTTAATGTAAGTTAAACCAGGAAAAGGAGAGTTCCCACTGAGTGAATTGTTCTTGCTTCAATAAGTTAATTGATGACATTATGCTGGGAAAATAGTCTGTCTAAGTTAGATTTTTAATGAAGTGTTAAATTTGTTAGGCCTATATAAGTTAGGTAGGCTAGGCATAGGTCTAACTTATTAAGTACCGTAACTTAATGTACTGCAAGTCAACTTAAAACGGGCTAAAACTTATTGCAAATTGTGGATGGTTTTCAGTTTCTTGGTCTGAGCGACCCACAATGGCAGCCACAGCTAAGAAGGATTCTCCGAAGGAAGTTGCGCCGAAGGAAGACTTCAAGTCCCCCCCGAAGTTTAAATTTTCTGATGGTAAGTTAGGCCTAAGTTCTCTTGGCTATGCCTTAAGTTTTTTTTTATTACACATTCTTGGTGGCACAATCTTCACATTCTTTTGGCAATCTTAGCGCCATCCTAAAAGTTAAATAGGCCTATGTCAAATATCTTACATTCAGGTACTTAAGCTATGACTGGCAAGCTTTTTTCTGCCATCCAATAGTAAAAATGATTGTTTAAAGGAGAGAAAATTGATCCAGTAGGACCTGTCAACCCCCTGTCAACTGTTGAATAAGTATCTAGTTACACAGACTGTTGAGTCAGCGAGGTTTTACTGAAGTTTGATTTCTAAATCACTTTTGGAATGTTAAAAGTTTTTGCTTGTTTCGTAATATTTTTTGGCTGCAATTCATCCCGTGGCTGCCACAGTTTGTCGACTGTGACACAGGATCCTGCAGGTCCAGTTTCGCTTTTCAAGTTGCCGTTGAGAGTTAAGAATTTTTTCCTTTTTTACGCCTCAGTAGCAGTTTAGTTTTTCTTTTGACTATTTTTTTCCTCTGGCAACCTAAGTAAACATATATTGTTTACGAGCGAATCCCTGTGAATTAATTTTAAACCTTTGATTCGATCTTGTGAGTGGTGACATTTTTTTCATCATTATGAATTAGGCCCAGTTTAACTGACCCAATGGCTGATTCGTTTGTTCTGTGTTACTGTTAATCTTGGTTTGTTGGCTACTCATCACATAAATAAAATTATACACAATTTACTAAAAAAATTTGGAGGGTATATTTCGAGCTTACATCAAAACCCATCTTCAGCCTCTGGTAAAATTTATCAGAGGCTGAAGATGGTAAATTTTATCAGAGGCTGAAGATGGTAAATTTTACCAGAGGCTGAAGATGGGTTTTGATGTAAGCTCGAAATATGCCTCCACATTTTTTTAGTAAATTGTGTAGGGTAGCCTATAATTTTAATTATGTGATGAGTAGCCAACAAACCAAGATTAACTTTGATAATGCCATCACGAAAAAAACATACCGGAATGAATTATGTGTTACTGTAGTGCTCTTTGTTTCCCAACCCAATGTTTATCCAAGTCCTGGTGCTACCCGATTCATTGGGGTTCCTGACGAGGTCTTCATCAACACAATCTCACAGCAGGGTGAAAATACACTATGATTATCCGTGGTTTTGTACTCTTTTATCTTTCAATGTAAAACTATTTTTGTAACTTATCTCTTTTTATCTGTAATCCCTCTACCTTCTCCAATACTTTATACTTTCTTCTATAACTGTGATTTCTAATATTATTTAACTTAACAAAATAATAATCAATACCAACACGATTGAGTCCAAATCCAAAACGTATTATTTTGTTTACTTGTTTGCAGGTGAAAAGGTCCTCTGTTTTCATGGTCCTCTAATTTACATCGCTAAGTGCATGCAGACAAGATACAATGAGAAGGAGAAGGTCTCTGAGTATCACATACATTACTCGGGATGGAATAAAAGGTGAGAGGTCATATCAATTATTTATGTTCTATAGCAGTTAATTTAGATATGCCGCTATGGACTACTTGCTATTGTGTATGTGCTAGTCACATTATTAATTTAAAATGTGTATTTTACAGTTGGGACGAATGGGTGCCTGAAAGTCGGGTATTGAAATTCAACGAGGCCAATCTTCAAAAACAAAGAGACCTTCATAAAGCTCAAAAGAATGAACCGTAAGTAAAAATTTGGGATCAAACTGTAAAAGCCTATACAAATATACAAGCTGCTTGAAATACATTCAGAAAAAATTGTAGTTAATTGTGGTGGAGCCGATTGTCCTGTTACAGTGAACTCCTTTGGAACACTTAAAGCTCTAACATTTTTTATAAATCTTCTAATCTTTTGTTTCCATATTTTGTTACATTGAACTAAGTAATAGAGGTTTAAATTACCTGGTCATTGTCAAAATCCTTACCGGTAATAGTTTATAATGACGACTACAGCTGTTTCGTGCTGTCGAAAATAGAGCAAATCTTCAGGTTCAAATGTCTTGCTCCAATCTCGAATTTGGATCTCCTGAAGAACTAAACCATGAGGTATCATTAGCAAAGTATTCAAACCTGGAAAAGAGCTCTATTTTTGACAGCACGAAATAGCTGTCTACGCCTAGTCGTCGTTACCTAGGACTATTACCTAGGATCATTATGACAGTAACCAGAAAATGAAAAACTATTAGTTTGATTCAGAGACCATTACATCATGGAGTTATTTTTTTATAGGCATGGTTTTAAAAACATTTAATACTGGACTATGGAATAGCCTAGAGCATTTTGTATTTTAAATAGGTAGCCTAATAAAGTCAAATTAATAAAGTTTGTTATTTAAACAAATCTTAAGGTTGATAAACAATTTGCAAAACTAAATTGTCATTATTTTTATTTTTTTAAATAACTTATGAAGGTAACAGCATCTAGACAAAAGAATTAAATAAATATAGACCAAAAGCAGTGCTGCGGTTAGCATATATTCTGGGGTCCACCGCTACCGCTAGGAGTTTTGTAGTTTCGGTTAACACTGCTGCAGCACCAAGCGCTAGAAAGCGTACCTAGCCATGACAAAACAAATTGGTAGTTGGAGCCAGGGTTGCCAACTTTTGGAGAATTCCCTGGAATCCGCGGGTAGGATTTTTTAATATTATTATTATTTTTCCATATTTAAAAAATTTCCGGGATTTAAAAAATGGGCTTTTTTATTAAAACTACAGGACTTCAGAATTTTGTACTTTACCCATATTGAAAAGTGCATTTCGTGCTGGTAGCAGACGGTGAGTCAACAGCGAATCGACAAACACTAAGGACGCTCTATTGGCACTGTTGGGAACCTTCCTCTGACAGTCTATATTTATTCTATTTGTCTATGGTAACAGTTAAATCCTAAATAATTTGCATTTTTAACTAAACAGCGCTAGTGAATAAAATTCATCAATAGACATTGTTTCCATTTTGATACATCACAGTTAAGCTTTTCAAGCCTAGTAAATACAAAATGTCGCTTGACTTAACTTATTTGGTGTCACGTTGTCTTGTTTTTTATTACCACAGGAAAAACAAAAAGCCCAAAAAGAATAAGAGCATTGGCGGGCCAGAAAGTGTGGGGGGCCCAGACAGCAGATCATCGACACCTGTCAATGACAAAGAGAAAGTCACTGTTGGTGAGAAGGAGAAGAAGGCAGCCATAGCGGCAACAACAGCTGCGGCCACGGCGACTCAGTCCTCCTCTCAGGACTCTGCAAGTGATGTGCCTAAGAAGAAGAAGGCGCGGACGGATCCTGCTGTGGAAACGGTAACACGCTACAAGTTGTTAGGCTATTTGAAATCAACCTCACATAAGTACTTTGGTCTAGAGGTGGCTTTTTGTAATCAGCTGTCAGCGAAAATAGCCCTATTACTCTTTATTTTATGGTATTTCTGCTATCTGTGCAATAACGGCTATTTTTAAACAGTGTGTTACTATTCAGCATTGTTGGATATCAGGCACTGTTGTATCTGGAATTTCCCAGATTATCGAGTGTCTTTAGTTTATATTTCATACAGAACAATATTAGATCCATGCATAGTTTTAAATGATTATTATTGTTGAGTGTAATAAACAGTGTGTGTGTTTTGGGAAACTGTTGGGTAACCTGTGAGACTCTTCAATTAATGCAAACAGTGTCTTATAAAATTAAATTGTTAAATAGGCTACAAAATTGTACTGAGTTTCCAACGAAGAAGTTTGATTAAGTTACATTTACCTCTGATTTATTGTTTGATACTTGATTTGACTCCGATTCCATATGACACTAAAAGGTTTTGGTTACATTTAAGAACATGAATGAAACTGGGTAGAAACTGAATTTTCAAAGCGTAGTATATAGTTTGTATTATGACCTCTATAGTAAATTTAAGGGATTATTAGTTGTTATCAATTTATTAATCTAGTTTTTCAAACAGGAAGAACAGTTTCTATCGAAAGTGGAAATTAAGGTTAAAATACCTGATGAGTTAAAACCATGGTTGGTCGATGATTGGGAGCTGATTTCAACACAACGCAAAGTAAGTTCATTTTTTATATGTAGCCTATCAAAATTAATTAAATAATTTATTTTCAAATCAAATAGGCTTGGACCTCCCTTTAACCCAAATTTGACAGATGGTTTTCTTAACTAGGCTAAATTTATGAAAGAAGTCTTTTTGTTGCCTTTTCCCCATCTTTTGTTTACTATCTATTATCTAATAATCTGATGTTATTTTTATTTTACTACTTGTATTTTCTAAACATTCCAACGACCACAGACAGTGTCAAGTCTTGTATTTCTTTTCATTAAAGCAACTAGACCTTTACCAAATGGCACCGGCCTTTCTTGTATTTTAAAATTGTGTTATATCTCTCTTTGTGCTTCCAGATTTGAACATGTACAGACTCGTTTGACGTTTATAAGGGTGTGGTTGACTTTAAACACCGACTTAAGCTGTAGGTCTATTTAACTGAAACAAACAATATGTTAGGCCTTAAAATTGTGGAACTGACCGAGTATTAACAATTAATTTTCTAATTTAATATCTTGAATAATTTAGTAAATCAATGTAGGCTCAACTTAATTTTACTATCAGATAAAATGCTTTTCTTTCATTGCTCAAACTGGATAAACAAAGTATTATCCATCCCAAGTTAATTTAATAATTTTTGTCAAACTTATTTGGTTTTCAGCTGTTAAATTTACCAGCAGCAGTGACCGTTGATCAAATTTTGGATGACTACTACAACACAAAAATCTCCAGTAAGAGCACAACCCCAAACAAGTAAGTATTTATTTGGTGTGGTTGAGGACACCATTCTAAAGTTTTAAATGGTCATTTAGGGGTAGGATAAGAGCTCTCAAATCGGGCATCAGCAGAGGCCAGATAATGTTCTCCTGGAGTGAATGCAAAAGAACACAGCGTTTGAGTGCAGTGGATACTGCCAAGGCTGCATGCGAAGTTACAAATGTTCCACCTCTAGTGTATAGGCCCAAGAGAACTGCATCAGCAAGAAGGAATAGAAAAGACACAGACAAGGGAGACAATACTTAACAAAAGATGGTTAATAATTATTTCATTAAAAAATTAGATTTTATATAGACAAAGAATGTGTATTTTTATTTTAGTCTTGAAATGTTCTTGTTCATTTTTAGGGAAACAGCTATATTGGAGGTAGTTAATGGTATCAGAGAATACTTCAATGTTATGCTCGGCACTAAACTACTTTACAAGTTTGAGAGAATGCAATATGCCAAGGTAGGCCTAGTTTAAGTATATTTAAACGATCAGTTTGTTTGAATTTACTACTAATTAGTTGCAATCTCATTTCAACATCCTCTTAATTGGACAGTTTGAAGTTTGCTTAATGTATAATAAAAGGGTTTTTTGTTATTTATAGTTCGAACATAATTCAAACTCATGGGATGATGGTTCAGTTAAATTGTGATTCACAATAGGATGTGCCTTCTTATCAAATGTTAGATCACATTTTTTAATGCAATGATACAAACACTGCATATAGTATTATCCTTTAGTTTTGTTTGCTGAATTAGTTATTCAGGTTTTAGTGTTTTTAATTTCATCATTGTGTTTGCAGATTCTAGCAGCCAATCCTGACACACCCATGAGCAAAATATATGGCGCTGTCCATCTGCTTAGGCTATTCGGTAAGTTTAAGCTATACTACATTGTCAAAAGTTAGTTGCAAAAAGTGAAAAAGTAATGTAGGCTTACACTTTTTGTGGTTTGACATATTTTAGAACATGTGGAGTTTAACAAATCCTTGTTCAAGCCTGTGTATGGTAGTTAATGCTAGATGGTGTTATGCAAAAAGGAGTCAACCCACACGAGATGAGTTTTGAGATATTTCACTCTAAAGATCGGGTGTCCCAAGAAATTACCTATTGCATATTTTCTCATTGTTAATATAGGCTACAGTGTGTAAATTAAGTCTGGCACACATTTCTTATCTTTTTTACTCTTTGTAGATTAGAAGGAATTAATTTGCAGGACTGAGTAAGAACAAATGTTTCGCACTTTTTGGCATAATTTTGAAAAAATTCCCCCATAGGGTAAGGTGGAGGTGGGGGGTAACTAAAGATTTTCAAATGACAACCCCCATCTTGTGACCCCTCATTTAAAAGGTATTTGGAAGACAAATTTAACGATGTGTCTGAAAAAATTTTAATGTGTTTCAGACTTAATTCACCCGTTCAACCCTAAGTACATTTTAAGCCGCCATATTAGACAGGATGCAAAAAAAACCTTTTCAGACACATAGTTAAATTTGTCTTTCAAATACCTTTAAAATGAGGGGTCACAAGATTGTGGTTGTCATTTGAAAATTTTTAGTTACCCCCCACCCCCACCTTACCCTTAAGGGGAATTTTTTTCAAAATTATGAAAAAGTGCCAAACATTTGTTCTTACTCAGTCCCGCAAATTAATTCCTTCTTTCCACAAAGAGTAAAGAAGATAAGAAATGTGTGCCATACCTAATTTACCCGTTCAACCCTAAGTACATTTTAAACCGCCATCTTGGATAGGGTGCAAAAATAATTTTTACAGACACATCTTTGGATTTGTCTTTCAATGACCTTTAAGATGGGGGTTGTCATTTAAAAATTTTTAGTTACCCCTTGCCCTTAATGAAAGAATTTTTATTTTCAAAATTTGTAAAAAGTGCCTAACATTTGTTATTAATCAGTCCCGCAAATTGATTTCTTCTATCTACTATAGAAAAAAGATAAAAAATGTGTGCCAGACTTAATTTACACACTGTATATTTTTTAGGAATGGACAGGATTGAATTTTTAGTTCGGAACGGGACGGGATTTTTATTCCTTCCTGATTTGTGGGACGGGATTTTTTCCTGTGCATAAAAAGAGTTTGTTTTAAAAGTCATTAATTTTGTTTATTGCTATAGACAAATGAGGAGTGATCGTGTATCACAGAGTATATGAGTTGCCAGCCAACAAACTTTCCCCTGTTAACTGAAAACATGACATCTGAATTCATTTTGCTTACTTGAAACTTATTTTTCTGCCTACATTCTTGCATGGCTGTAGTGTTCTCTGAGTCAGTGTACAGTCGCTGTTGTATTTTCAATGCTCTTTCGACATCAAACTCCGAGTCATTAGGCAGAAAACTGTGACCTGAAAGTAGGTACCGGAGTGTAATAGATTCCAGGGTAGGATGGTTTTGCAGGATGTGAATCATCATTAAGACTAGTTTTATACTACAGTTCTGCCCTCTGCATGAGTCAGACCACATTATCAAGTGCTTAACGGGTTCCTTGAGGTTTTCAGTTATAAATTTGTGTAAGCAAGATCCAACCTCTTGAGTACCTCTTCCAGCTTTATGCTCCATCCAATCATTAAAAATTCCTTTTCCTGAACTACCAACGGTAAAGCGACAACAGGACTGAATTTGACCTGGGCCAGCCTGAGCCCTCTGGGGCAGTCGTGCGGCATAATGCGAGGGTGCGACATTAGGACTGAATGGAATCTCCCCGTTCTCCCTGCCTAATTCCCAACACCCTACCCCCGGACACATAGTGAACTAGTGGGATAGTGAACGGATCGGCTCATGGAATCGTTCACGGAATTATTTACTCCGTGTAATTTGTCAGCACTCGTCTTTATTAATATAATTTAGCCGCTATTCCAGTGCCTCGCAACGAGATCAAGATTCAGAAGAGACAATTTTGGTTCCTTTAAAATGCCGCAAAATGGTTGTGGATCACCCATTTTATTTAGATACGAAATTCAACTGTACCACTTGACTTGATAACAGTCCGTTTTGTTAACTCAGACTGTGAACACGTATTTAGGCTACCTAGGATGGTGTAAAAATGATGACGATGAACTCATTGAAATATTACATGGAGACCTTTATGATTTTATGTTTAAAAAATACGCGTACTAATAAGTGTATTTACTAAAATAAAGTGTTGGAAGTCAATTGTTAGGTAAAACAAATCCTAAAACTTAACTTTAAGGTCGTGTATAAAAAACATTGATTGTTATAAATGCCCCATATAATAAGATACTGTCAAAAAAATTTAAACCAGTTAACATAGGAACAATAACTCATATGCGACGGAAGGTATAGTTAATATGTTATTCATTAATTCATTTAATGATCAACCATATTTTGTAACGCAATAGTCATTATTGTTTCTACACTTATTTATTACTCATTAAACAATGCTAAATGCTCAACTTTTTTATAATTTCACTCTTTTTGTCGCGGTTAGAAGAATTGTCGTAAGCCTTTAAAGCAACCGTCGATTTCGACGGGTTTCACCTAGTTAGGTATATTTTACACGGAGAGAAAAGAACAATTGTAATTTTTGCCACCTTTTGGTAGATTAAACATATACTTGTTGTTAATAACTCTAAAATTATCATTAGTGTAAATATTTTTTCGAAAAATAACTTAAAAAGAGCTGGTTGAAATTGTAAAATCTTATAGCAAGTAAGTGTCACTTTGTCCGTTCCAAAATTCAAGGCCCTCAAATTCACTCACCTAATTGATTATAGAAAAATAACATTAACACGGTCTCTAATGATTTGGGAAACAAAAGTCAACTGTAAGCAGCTCAGTATTAAAATATTGCCAGTGATTTGATTGAAGCAGCTGTTTAGCTATATCTATATAAATAAAATTAGAGTTTTGTCTGTACATTGCTCAGAATTATATATTTTAACCTTTTTTTACGTTTTATACATTAAAGAAGCAGAAACGAGTCTAATCTCTATTTCTGTCTGTCTGTCTGTCTGTCTTTCTGTCTTTCTGTAACACTCAAGATGGCATTTTACCCAATCTTCTCCGTGAAAACGAGAGTACCTATCAAGATCCAAGTCATTTTAATGTATTCACTGGATTGTCGAGAGTGTCTTTAGTGATTAAAATATGGCCTCACTACTTTATAAATAAAATTACGGACGTTCAAAAATGCAGTTTTGTGCGATTTTTGTCAAATTTTCATTCAATTTTTATTACATAATCGTCTATGAAGTAACGAACAGCTGTCCGGATCAAGATTATTTTTTCTAGCTGTCACTGATATGTTTACAAATGTTGTTTACAAATACCGCAACCATTTCGAATCACGTTTCGAAAGCAAATCCCAACCAACCAAGTGAGATTGAAAACGTTTTTCTTACAAAACGGATTTAATTAATCGCAAGTGCAATATCATAGTGTAACCGTAAATGAAATTAAATAACTAGGCATCATCCAGGTCAGGACCCAGAAATTCTTTGTGTATAAAATTGTTCTTGAGTTTTGATAACCAGAAAAAATACCTTGAATCAGTGTTGTATATGGCTGGGACACTTAATGATCGTCGTCAATAGCTTACAAACAAGGTTTCCACTCATTGACGGCGCTTCAATGGCGATTGTGTAAAGTGTAAAGTAAAAAAAATACAACTGCAGTGGGTGATTGTAACAGAGGTTTACGGATGATGGTAAACTCGCTTTTCCAATGTGTCACTTTCTGTTTCTATTCACCGTGTGGTGCAATCGCTGGACCATACAGCCAATAGGCCAATAGCCCATCTTTTTGGTACGTACGCCTACCTATTTATTCATAACAACCTTTTCAACGACGATCCTAGATACCGGTACTTTTCCATAGAATACATGGCCTACCTACTTAAGAAATAAAATTACCAATGTTCAAAAACCCAACATTGTGTGATTTTTGTCACATTTCCTTCTAATGTTAATATATATACTAATCATTGTTAAGAGAATACGTAATCTATGAAATAACAAGAAGTTGTTTGGATAAGGTTGTTTTTTTTTTTTCAAACTGACACCGATAAGTTTACATTAAGAGTTATCACTTTTTACGAGAAAATCCAAAACCAAGAGATCAATAACCTCGGGGCTAGATTAATGCATTTAATTGGTCGGATGTACTATAGTTCTTAACTGTAAACGTTGGTTTTTGGTACTGGTTCTTTTCCTTAGAACAGTTGGTATAGCTGCAAGAATCATTTTTACGTACCAACACATCACTGTAATTTACAAATTAGTTATCGTTGGTGTTGCACCTTATTTATTAGAGCCGTATTCAATTTAATTGATGTCTTAAGTGTATAAGTTTTGCTTTTTCTGCCTGGATTCCAAAATATTAACTTACCCGTTGTATGCTAAGAAAATGGTAACCCATTTGAGTAAAACATTTGTATAGCAAACCATCATGAATTGTTTTCGCCTTTACGTGTAGTACTTTAAATACGTTTAACCATTGTGGAAAGTAACTTTCAATTATAGGCCTACCTTAGGGCTATGCCTCATGGATCTATAAAGCATTTTTTAGTTTAATCATTGGATTTAACATATGGACCAACACGATCCGGGTGACATTTAATTGCGATGCATTTATTTTGGCTTGAACTGTCAGATACTGTATTTGACAAGGTTTGTATAAAATAGTTTTGCCAGCATATCTGCAAATATGCAAACCAACTGCTTTTCTTAATATAAGAAGGTTTCAACTGACTACTTTAAGGTCCCCGTGCGTAGAACGGGCACACAGCTAGTCAACCACTAAATTAGCCGCAACGTATAAAATTATGGCACGAATGGCACGATCAAGTTTAGTCTAGTAAAAATAAGAATCCAACACTTTTAATAAAATCAAATTTATTTATGTTTATGATCGATACAGTTTCTGTTTAAATATTTCTGCATTACTAGCAGTTACCCGGTGCGCGTTACAGCGCTAACAACTATTATTTTAAACTAGTGCTTCTGTTGCTCGTATTCGAGCAATTGCAAAGTATTTCAGACATTATTTCAACACGAATAGCAGTAATAATTTCCGATGACTGAAAGAGTCATCTTAAAAATGATGAAATCAATCACTCCACTCCAGTTATCGAAATTGAAAACGATTACCGAACGAAAACGATACCAAGTCATCAACATTAAAAAAAAAATACACCTCAATATCTTCCCTGTAGCAGCAAACCTAGGTACTAATTCAAATTAATGTTATTAGGAAATATATCGGACCACGCGTTGAAACAAGAAACTACATTAAATTTAAAATTACAATATCTTGAATATTTGTTCGGAATGTATAATATCATAAACGTATCTTTCTATCTAAATATATAAATGACAATCAAAAGTGTGTCACTGATGTAGCATGTAACTTCAAGTAGTATAAATATTGTGTTACATAAGCTCTAGCAATGTGATGGACAGTATCCTCTGTTTAGTAAGCACTGCTGGAAGATTAAAATATATTAGTGACAGTAAAGAAATATTTTACTTCTTAAACAACACTTCACCACGACAACATTTGGTACAGTTAATTATTGAGATTTTCTATTATTTATCAACTTCCCGTTCACCTGACACATGGTTAACAAAGGAACATCTGCGTCGTGCTAGGAATTCCAGGAAGGGTCACACATTCCCTTTCCTCTGTTCATAGTTCACAATGTTCTGTTATCTGGACCTTCCAGCTACTAGTCATATTTAATGGGATTACTGAGAAATAATTTTCCAAAACAACAGCAATGCCAATGAACTTTCTGAAATATGTTCACAGAAAAAAAAACAGATCAGTGTCCGTCCACAACAAACCCAATGAACTCAAATGTTAATTCTATGAGCTGCATTTGCCGCAATCCAGGGAGTTCGTGAGATGCGTTTCACAAACTAACAATTCCACATGTTGGCATTATTTAAATAAATTAACCCAGTTAATATGACTAAACGTCAACAACAGCCTTAATCCTAATATCAATACGATAGTACAATTTAATATTACAAAATTAACTTACAACCTAATAATTGCTTTAGTATAATTTTAGGTTTTACTTTCATATCTTTAACTATATTTAAACCTATATACAAACATTAACATACATTATACATAATACATTATACATTATATATATACAAACATTAGCCCTTGACAAACATTAATTTTTCATAAATTTACTATAATATGAAAAGCCTAAATTCATATTAGGCCTACATACAAAATACCCCCGCTGCAGTTACAACTAAATAGCCTTTTTAATTTACTCCTTGTATTTCCATTCACTACACATTATGTAACTTACTAGATAATAGGGTCTATATTTCAGTCATTATTTAATGGATCCAACAACTGTAAGGGTGATATTATTTTGACCATTTAAACATTTTAGTCTTGATCTGGAAAAAATATGCCGCACAGTCAAGTACTCTCAAAAACACGACTCGGCAATTAGGTGAACGATTCCATGAGGTGATGTGTTCTCAGCGACCTAGTAAACGACTCCATTAGGTGATTAGTTCTCTTGCCTGTGTCTGTGAGGGTAGGGAGAACGGGAAGAAACCGACGCGGTGAGGGAGATCTCCCTCAGTCCTAATGTCGCACCCCTGAAATTATCCGCATGGCTGCGCCTGCGGACCCAGAACGGACCAGGTCAAATTCAGTCCTGTTGTCACACCACCCCTACCAACATGGGTGCCTTAATTGTGAAAGTTAATTTGCCGTTTGTAGTAAGCTATCCCAGTAAGAAGTTTAGGCTAAGGATGGTTTTTTTAGCAAATTTCCCTATAGGGAAGTAGCTATTACCGTAGGTGGCACGGTAAGACTTAGGATCACCGAAATATTAATTTATTGACTATGAAGGAAAAGGTTAAGCAAGTGCTTCTTGAAACAGACTTTTTAGGTTATGTTGTATATTGTTTAAAATAGCTTAACATATTATAAAAACACTAGTGCACCTGTTGCTCAAATTCAAGCAATTGCAAAGTATTACAGGTGTTATTTCAAAACGAATTACAGTCATAATTTGTTAATTTCCAATGACTTAAAACAGTCAACTCAAAGATAATGTAATCAATCACTCCACTCCAGTTATTGAAACTGAAAACAAACTCACTTTGAAAACAAATGCTCTTGTCTATATCATGTGTTTACTATGAACAGATTTTTAGTTTGCAAATTAATATGTCTACAAATTATTTGTATGTTTAAGTAAACAAAATCTTTTCTTCATAAGAAATACATTGGGATTTGTATGGCCTTGTGTGGCAAAGCCCGAGGACTTTAATTACAGGAATTGGTGAAAGGGGGCATCAACAGAAAAAAATACTTAATTTTGACACATCGTTTGTAAAAATCTGTCCATTATTAACAGAGGAGTAGTGTTTCGTCAATTATATATAAGGATTATATATAAGTATTATATATAAGGATAATTGTAGCTTACCTTATATAGTATTAGAAGGTAGAAATTGTAATCTCAATTCAACTTTTATCATAATATTAATAAGACGACTAGAGTTTGTGCGTTTCTTCGTGAAGCCTGGGTGTGAGGGACTTTGGTGGCAAGTGGGGAGCCGAGCGTGAGAGGGGAAGTTGAAGTTGTCGTCATATTCTGCAACTAGTCTGACTAAAGACATTTCTCGGAGTTTGGACTGCGGTGCGGAGGCGGTTCAGGCTGCTCACACAAGTTGTGTGATCATATTAATGAAGGCTAATTAAGTGTTCCATAACATAAATGACTAATATCTAATTTTTTACCTTATTAAGAGGAATATGAAAATGTTTATGAACGGAGGATGGCATATTTTATAAAATTCTCTATATTAAAATTTAGAGTATTAGTCCCCTGTCAAATGTACATATACAGGCTCCCGTGTGCTCCTTAATGAAGCAGGTATTGGAGTAGTCTTAATCTCTTTGTTTGACCTTGGAGAAATACAATTTCGATGGTGGCACTCTTGAAAGTGGTGCGTTTGGACGCTGTGGGTAAAAAACAAAATGGCCACCATAGCAAACTTGTTTTTTTACTTACCGTATATCAGTAACCGTTAGACTTATGAAAAAATTGTTGATACCAAAATGTAGGTATTTTAAATCTGCACAAAAAAGATTGATACAGTGTCTTATGTAGGATCAACCATTCTTTCATAAACATCATTTTATATTTTTCATAAATAAAATTAATCAGGGTGGATGTAATGTCCCAGGACAGTTAAATATTTCAGAAGTAATAAAGGTTGATTCAGTAAAACGTAGCGGGCTATGCAGATTCATATTCTATGTGCAAAAATAAGTCGAATATGTTTTATTATTTTTTTTTTATTTTGGCTTAGTTTAGCCGTAATCCGCCATTTTGTATTTTTTGAAAATAATTCATAACTCAAAAGGCCTTGGAGATATTTTTATGAATCTTGGTACCTATAAGCTTTAAATCTACAACTATAAACATAATGCAAAAAAATCTTTGATCAGGCTCATCGAATTTCAAAATGGCGGCCATTAATATTTTGTTTAAGTCAAATTCCATGAAAACCAGCAATTAAAACAAAACTTTGAAACACAATATGAAAAGTCCTTTTTATTACAAATCGAATGACACTTTATTTGAAAAAATCGGATAATAAATTAAAAAGTTATGTAACTACATAACTTTTATAATGTTTTTGTCACTAGTTTCTATGGAATTTAACTTTGAGATTTTAAAATGACTGCCATTTTGATATAATTACTATTAATAATAAAAGTTACAAAACTTTTTTCCGTTTTTCGCAAATAAAAGTGTCATTTGATTTGTAATAAAAAGGACTTTTAATAATGTGTTGCAAAGTTATGTTTTAATAGCTGGTTTTCATGGAATTTAACTTTAAACATTTTAAATTGCGGCCATTTTGTTTTTACCCACAGCGTTCAAACGCCCCATTTTCAAGAGTGCCACCATCAAAATTGTATTTCTCAAGGGTCAAACGAAGAGATTAAGTCTACTTCCACACCTGCCTCATCAAGGAGCACACAGGTGTACATTTGACAGTGGACTATATGCTATTGTCAATACTTCTCAATACTTCAAAAATTACTCTTTAATGAGACAAAGATTTTTCGTGGGCAAAAACAAGTAGGCCTACAAATAATGTATTATTAATATACAAAAGAATGGCTTGAACATAAAAAAAATGTATTATCACACCACTGTAAACTTAAAAATAAACAAATTAAGTTTTAAGATAATTGAACTGGCATCCTGAATGTTTTTGAAAAAAATTGTATCCGCGATGTTGCTAGGACAGGGTGAGAGCGCTGACTGATTTTCGGCGTACCCCCACCCCTACAAAACCAGTCCAGAGCCACTCTAACCACCCAGGCTTCACCAGGAAACGCACGATTTATGACAACAACAACACTAACGTTGACACTAAAAGCTTTAAAATGAGAATGGCTTGTCTTGGAACTACTGATTGAGTGTTTATTGCAAAATAGACCTAATTGTAGTTTGAATGCTAACAATAGTGTCAGTTGAATGCTTTTTGCTTTTTAATGTGGCAATTCAATGGGTGTGGGTTACAACTTTTAATATTATATGTCTTTGGAATTAGATAGGGCTTGAGTGGTTTTTGCAAAATACAGAGAAGAAAATAATTTATAGCCTAGGTTGGTTATGTTAATATTTAAGTTTTGTGGGTTGACTCCTTTTTGCATAATACCATCCATTGTCCCCCTGTAGAAGTATAAATATTTTTTTATAGTGAAGCTCGGTGGAGTTCTTGCTTACACAGCATTGGACGAGAAGAGCATCCAACTACTACTGGTGCACATCCATGACTTCTTAAAGTAAGTTACGATGAAAGAATATCATCAAACATGTCATCTTTATCTATTTTCCTGACCCAACTAGTATCTTACCCATACTGAATCCCAAATACATTTTTTGAGGTACACAGGAATTACTGGTTTCTTTAATTCCTCCATGATTATTAGCACCTCATGGGGTGTGGATCACTGTTGTGTCAAATGCATTTGATTGTCACTTAGAGGCACTAGGCTTGATTTAAGTTTTCACACTGGGCAACACAGCAACAGCATGCACAAGGTTCCGACACACAGACACAACAGAATCCATTCTTACTACAACAGAAGGCTGTATTTGTTATATTTATTGCCTTTTGACACACACTTAAAATGCAGAGTCCAGATTAATGTATTAGAATTGACTCAATAATAACATTTTTTAACTTTATTTTTGTTCCCACACAATTTTTTCCAAAAACAAGGATTGAGCATAATGGTTTCCAGCATAATGACACCATCTTCTTGTTATTGGCCATATTTTTACATCTCAAGAACTAACAACGCAATGACACCTGTAACAAAACAGTGGGATTGTTGCTGCCAACGACAAGTCGGTGCCCACAATGGCATAAAATCATCGTGTCAGCGTACATGTTGAATGAAACTCCAGTTTCATTTAATCTTTACCCCCCATAATACCAGGACAAAATGGTCTTTTCCTTAATATTTGTTAACTCAAATTAATGGTTGTGATTAAAAAACTATTTAGGATGAGAGAACACAGCTAAGCTAGCTCTCTTTAAGAAAGTTTGCAGATGAGTCAAAGCACAAATAAATCATATACACAATTAATAAATTACCTACTGAATTTTTTTATCTGTGCTGTGACTCTTCTGGTGAGTTAGCTGTGTCCTCTCCATCCTATATCACTTTTTATTCCAAGCTAAATGCTTTTTCCTAAAAACATGATTAGTTGTGTGTTTGTTTACAGATTCCTGCACAAGAATGCGGCGACGTTGTTCAGCCTGCAGGACTACGGAGTCTCCACTTGCGATTACCAAAGGAAGATGGTGTAATGAAACCACATTGTTCTTATCCTTACCTAAAGTGATCTGAAGCCATCGGATTGACCTCTGTACAGACTAGACTAGCAAATGTCTAGACTGAGAAAGACATTCAGTGGCTTCTCCTCACTTCATCGAGTCATTCTGTTTTAGAAGGCTCTGTTCTGCTCTTACACATAGTAAATGGGTTTGCAGCAATCTACTTTATCTAATTCTAAATTGGGAAAAAATTACAAAATTAGCCTCAAAGTGGAACTTTGAAACTGTAGTGATTTTTATTGTGTTGAACACTGTTGCTTGTAAACCCAGATAGTTAATGTGAAGTGGAACAGAAGCAAAGGCAATGACCAATAGAAAACACTGTGTGCATACTTTTGTATCTGATGGGGGCAAATGTAAAGAGTTTCTTTTAAGGTCTATTAGGATACTCTAGGCAAGGTAAAAGGGTTCAATGGCCCACCACATGATATGAAGGTCACCTTAATCCCGAAAAGGGCCCAAAAGCTTTGAAACAGCTTTTGTTGGGCTATTATTGTTTAAGTTGGCTGGACCAATCAATAAACAAACTAAGAATAAGCACAGCTTAAAACATATTTCTATAGTGACAAATTTATCTTCAGATAAAAAAACAAGTTATGTTTAAACAACTATATTTTTATTTATTTTGGCTGGTCCAATAAATGAAAGTTTTGAAAATAAAATTATAGGCTGCATCAGTCCAACTTTATTTTTTTTATATTTTCAATGGAAGAATATCTTCTTATTATAAACTCTGAGCTCCTAAGATTATTCGTTGATTTAATTAGATTAGCTTATTTCACCCATATGTGATCGTAAATGTGATACAACTCAAGCAATTGTGGTCTGATTTTGATGAAACTAGGCATGAATTTGTTGGACTGGATTAATTTTCATGAGTGCGAACCAGCAAGATCGTGAAATGGGAACAATTTTTCAAGTTTTTAAGTTACACTTCAAACATATAAATGCCTGATTTCGTTACAGACATCATGCAGAGCTTTTAAAATAATTTCATATTTGGTATGTGGAAGAGTTGTTGTAGGCTTATGCTTATTTAAGGTTATTGTAATCAGCGAATTTCACAAATGGGAAATAAGCTATTACCGTAGGTCTCATGGGGAGAAATTCTGGACTAATTTACTTTTTTTGTTCTGATGTCCTCAGATGACAAAAATTAAAAATACCATCCATTTAAATTCATATATAAAATATAGGCAGTCGTGTACGTTAGCACAATAACTCGAGTTAAAATGATCCGATTTGATGAAATTTGGTACCTACTAGGGATGGACGAGATTGGATTTTTAGTTCGAGACGAGACGAGACGAGATTTTTTATTTCTCATAACATTTCGAGACGAGATTTCTCTTCTCATACACAACGGGAAATGCACGTTCGAAATTTTTACCTGATTTTGTAACATTGTTAGATGACTGTTTAACACGTTGACTGTGCGTGCCGACTTTAGTCGGCGTCGCCAGCGCTCCCAGGTGGCGCGCGCCGACTAAAGTCGGCACCAGACCAACAGAAATATATTGAGTCAGTGTGAGCTTAGCCTCAGACGGAGACGTTATAATCGTTGCCAGCCTGCCAGCTTAGAATGCGAGCTTTACTTTGGTGTAGGTTGGTACTAAAATTTCCCGTAAAATCCTGTCTGGCAATGCTTTTGTCCCGGTTTCAGGGATTTTTTCTCTTCAACCCACATTACAAAGACACTGGATATGGATCCGTGCAGTGCTGCTACCTTTGGGTGTTTCAGTGAACTACATCCACTCTCGGGGTAACGCAGCACAGTCACCACTGCTCTTTTGTGATTCGTCAGACTGAAATATTTGAATGCCAATTGAGTTCGCTGATTCGGTTGCGCGCCGGGGCTTCGCCCGCCACTGGGGAGCGCCTGTAAAGTCGGCGCGCGCAGTCAACGTGTTAAATACTAAAATAATGATAATAGGCAAGAATATTTACAATCTTTCATTAAATAACATCAGCATAACATTTTTTTATTAATCACGCCTAACTTATTAAAAATGCCTACGATTAGGAAACATGGTGATATCAGTTAGGATAGAGTTCAACTTATCCTAAAATAAAATAAATCATAAAATAAAAGCAATATTAATTTTTATAATATAGTTACTTGTTTTGACTTTTTTTATAGTAATAAAACATTCCTCACACTGCTTACACTTAACAAAACTTCTCAAATGTTATTAAAGTAATATTATTAAAATAATGAAAGTAATATTTACATTAAAAGAATTAAAGTAATATTTACATTAAAAGAATTAATTAAATAAGAACGCCTTCGAAAAGGAAACGCAACTACAACACGCTCCTGTATTGCGGGTATTGCATTGACTTTCTGCAGGCGTTTTTAATTTTTTTTTTTTTTTTTTATTCTCGTCTCGATAAAAATCTTGGCCAAAAAGTAATCTCGTCTCGTGTAACGAGATTGAAAATTTCCCGAAATTTCGAGACTTGACCATCCCTAGTACCTACGTATATTCAAACAAGTTGGCGAACCAGCATGCTCAGACTATGAGAACAAAGCTTTATAGTTTATAGGGTACAAATTGGGTTACAAAACATAGGTAGTAAACATTGTAAGAAAACATGAAAAAAATTAACAATGTTGGGTATTTGAATGTTTGCTAAATTATTTCAAAAGTAGTATATCCATATTTTAATAGCTAAAGAGTAAAGATACTTTGGCCAGTTCAGTGAACACCACTAAACTATTTGAATCTTGAGGAGTACCGGTACTCTAGTTTGCTCGGAGTAGGCCGTAGAAATTGGAATTTTGGCGTCACAGATACAATAACATACAGACAGAAATTTAGATAGACTTGTTCCGTCTTTCTTAGGATATAAAACACACAAAAAAAACCTTAAACTTCGTGAGTCCACTCAATTTACAGACAAAACGGTGATTTTATTTATACTGTGTATGTAGATGTTTGTTAGCACGATAACTCAAGTAAAAATCATATGATTTTGATAAAATATGGTATAAATGTGTAAACCTACATTTATTCAAACAATTTGGCGAACCAGCATGATCTGACAATGGAAACAGGGTTTTGTAGTGTAAAAATTGGGTTTCCTTATTTTTGGCACTCAAAGCATATACAGTGGAACCTCAATAACAAGTCACTCTTGATAACAAGTGTCATTTTCACCTAGTCCCTCCAATCCGGGACAAGGACTTTGGTCCAAGCCGTCTTTTAGGTGTTGGACCATCTTTTTGCCATCTTTAATGTATTGTGTCCCTTGCCTGTGCCTTTTCCATTCCTTCTTGCTGCTGCAGTCCCTTTTGGGCCTAAAGATCCATCCAGACAATCAGGTGGGACACCTGCAATTACGAATGCAGCCTCGTTAGTATCCAATGTACGCTTAAAATGCCATCTTCTTTTGCATTTGCTCCTGGATTTATCAGGCCTTATCGGATTTGAGGGCATTTATCCAAACTGGCACTGTATAGATGACTTCACTACTCATGCCAGCAATTTTCGTTTACCTGGTCTTGGTCCTTGAACATTGCTCAATAGTCGACTGAGACTCCCATCCTATATGGCTTTTCTTTGTGCAACTTCCTCCACATTAATTTGAAAGGATCTTCTGTGGTCCACACCCCTAGGTTTTTAACTTCTTGGCAGGGAATATTATAAACCTTTTTACCTGGATACTTATGACCCGCCATTACTAACTGCTTCTTCCTTCTCTGGTGCAATCTCAATCCCCTCGAGTTGTAACCACGCAACCACCTCAGTGATGGACTGATTAGCTCATGATCATCAGTAACTGTTCAGTATTTGCTATACACTAACACCACATGGTAATGTAAGTCACCACCCAATCCCATATCAGGTTGCACAGAGTTGTCCTCAAGTGTTTAGACCTGTGGCACACCAGTCACTTCCAGCTCCAGAGAGCCTCCTTGTTCTGTCTCCATCAGTACCTCCCTATCACTGAAGTACTGCTGGATCTTCCTACATAGGTATTATTGAACTCCCGTGGCTTTTAAGTAAGACAAGAATCTTCTGCCAGGAAGCACTGTTGAAAGTATTACAAATGTTCAAGGTGTATTGCCGGAATAATCTGGTCCACATTATGCTGTTTGCAGCACGATCCACCAAGGACCACTTTCTTCGATTGCATTAAGTGTAGACTCACATGCTCTAAAAAAACCCTGATTTTCAGCCCAAACACTTGTTGGCTCTATTTCACTTCTAAGTCTAAGCAGGAGATCTCCCAACAACTTCCCTACGACAGTCCAGAAGGTACAATGGCCTGTTAGATGAGGGTGAGTTTATTCAAGTATTCTGTTGGTCTGACTTTACAGCTCTATACTTCAAACTCTTCCACTGTGTGTGTGTCTTGCATGTCTTTAAAAAAAACTCAAATCCATCTTAAAAATTGCTATCAGTGTTTGTGTTATCAAGACTTTGAGAAAAAAATGTTTACCAAAGATGGCCTTTGTTGGCCTGCAGTTTTTATGAATGAGAAACACTTTGGAGTAAGATATTTTATCCATATTTTTCTACAAGTTGTTTTGCAGTTATTTTTAGACTTACTGTATTTCTATACTTATTATATTCTTTATCATTGTGATATTTTTAGGTGTTTGAGTTTTATGTCTTTTATTGCATGTGTATTACAAAATGAAGTGTCCATATTTATTATTTATCCAAAAAAGGCAAAGAAGAAAATATTTGTCTTCTTCCTCTGCACTATTATAAAAAGTAGAAAAACATGCAAATCCTTGTTAAAAGTGGACTTTTATTGAAAACTAGCTGGCCCAACAGACGTCGCCCTGTCCTAATGTGGTTTTATGTCAAATACTCGTTCATTTTCAAGATGAGCTCGTTCGCATGGCTCAATCACGTCCTGGTTGAAGTTCGTTCGCTATGCTCACTCACCTTTAGGTTGGAGCTCGTTTGCTGCACTCACTTGCCTTCAGGTTAGCTCATTCGCTACGCTAACTCGCCTCCAGGTTGAAGTTTGTTCGCTACGCTCACTCACCTTTTGGTTGCAAATTAGATGTTGTCATGAATTAAAAAAATAATAGTGCTGCACTCTGTTAGTAAACCTACTAACTTTTTAATGGTTTTGAACATCACAGAATCTAATTGTTTAGTTTAACCAGCTGTTAATTCCATTTAAATAGGAGTACTCATAGGTTTAACATGGGAAAATCCAGAGCCACTGGGGCGGAGCCCTTTTGACAGGTCTGCACCAAACTTCACACAAATACCATCCTTGAATAATGCTTAATAATGCCTGAAAGTGTTGTTACAATTTGTCGAGCGGTTTAGGAGTCCATAAAGGACAAACAAACATACATTGGATTTTACATATATAGGAAAAATTTTTTGTATCATAATATTGCCAACTAAGATGGAGATGCAACTGGCCATATTTTAACACAAAATGAAGAAAGGATGAGTGAAGAAAGCAATGAGATGCCTTATGTAAGCTTTGTTACTGACTAAGACCGGCTATTGAGAAAGGACCATGTGTTAAAAGCCCCAATGATCTAGTACAGCTTGGTCCAGTTCTTTTTTTTTTACTTATCTCAGGTTAAAACCAGTAACATTTTGATTGTTATCAAATTTCTCATATAGAGAATAAGCTATTAAAGTATAATATATAGTATATGCGTCTGTTAGCACAATAAGTCGAGTTAAAATCATCCGATTTTGATGAAATTCTGTACAAACATGTAAACCTATGTTTTTTCGAACAAGTTTGCGAACCATCATGATCGTACTATGGGAATAGGGTTTTATTGGGTAAAAACTGGGTTTTACCATTTTTGACGCTAACAATATAAAAGTTTGATTTTTTTTGCTCTTATATTCAGCTTAAACATGCAAATTATTTGCCCCATCTTAACATACTGTTAACCTAGGATCTACCCAGAACCATTTTCTTTTTCCTTAAGGTTAGGCATAGTCATAGAGGGTCGTGGCAATATCTCTTAAATAAAATATAATGGTGATTGGTGGGATTTGAACCCAGAACCCCTACACCCCCACCCACTACACTAGCTCACTCCTATGACACTATGTCATGTTGAAGTTAAATTTTCATTAGGTACAATACTCAAGTTAAATAGGTACATAAACTATTATTGATATTTATATTATCAAATAATTACATTATTGCAAATACAATTGATCTTAGCATTACATTTTTATAAAAGTATGTTCTCGGTCAATCTTTGGTCATTAGCTGTTAAGTTAAAAAAACATAGACAGTATGGTGTCGCCTTCCAATCAAAAATAAGCAGAGGCTGGACAAACACAAGTAGTTAATCATACTAACAAATATATTTCGAATCAACTGTGATGTCTAGACTGTGCCAAAATTCACCACTCTTCTTGTGCTGATCAAAACTTCTTTTCTCCAAAGTTTCTATATGTTTTGTGTGCTTTTACTAACCTTGCTACACTATTACTTAATGTTTACAACAAGTCAAAAGGCGATGCTAGTTGTCGCTTATGCTTGTATTGTTTGAATTGAATTATTATAAGATGTCTGCTATCCCACGCTGTCTTTGAGTTTACACCTCCTTTGTTGAGTTTTCTTCAAAACTCTTATTGAGTGCTTTTTTTTATATCTGAGGGATAGTTTGTGTTTTTTGTCAAACTGTGTGTTTATTCTGAAGGGTAAAATAGGCTGGACCTTGCAGAGCAGAGAGTAAGGACTGCACCATTTATTTTATTTATATAAAATCTTCTGTTGTTTGAGTCTTAGAATTTAAATTGGTTCGCATTTGAGCCAAAAACTTATTATAGTTGTATGTATTTATTTGCATGGAAATACTACTAGTTGTTAATTTTAAATGGCTGTTTTGTATGTCAAACCATCTACTGGAACATTGCTCAAATTAAAAAAGATACATTTTAATTTTTATTTTATTAATGCTAAATTAGCAATTCAGAAAGAGTTGCAACCAGTTACAACTGTATGAGATGAAGTGGCTCAGCCCTATTTACAAACAGTCTTTGGTATTTTGACGAGTTAAGTGTGTAATCTCTGTTGCTTGACTCTCGATTTATAAGAACACAATTCTATCAATTTTCAAATCCATTCAAAGTGTACTCCATAACACTAAAGTGCACTGAATAATTTTTTATTTGGTTTTAAAATAAGTTTCTTTATTAGCCTTAGTTGGTTGTTATTAAAAACTAAATGACCTAAAAGAATTTGATGCTGCCACATTATTTTACTTGAGTCACTAGCAAACATGCATTACACACTTTATGTCAATAAACCCTATGACTAATGACTGAAGATTTTAAACTTAATTACTAAGTTTGAAAATAGTGCACTAAAATTACATAATATTAAACTGAGAAGTATGCTGTATTATCTTAGCTAGCTAAAAGCACAACATTTGTGTATTGGATGAATGAGAACATAGGAATAAGTTTTGTACATAGAAATTTGCACTTGCACTAGGGGCTTATGCATGCATTGCTTTTTTTTATTATTCATGTACATATTATAAAACTATTCACTTCCAAGAAGTTATCAACAAAGTATTTCTAATACTGTTGTTGTAAATTATTTTAATTAAAATTGTTTATTTTAACTTTTTAACTGTCTTTTATTTGCATTTTGGACAAAAATATTTCAATTATTTTTTCTTTGTTTCAGTATCCTGTTTAAAAGAAAATTTGAACAGATAATTGAGAATTTAGACGATAAAGCAAAATGGTATAAGATGTATGTCGAATTCAGTTCAATGGGCCTGTAATTGTGATATGAAATACGCTGTGTTTTCTCATAAGTATTAATGGATATGGAAATGGTGACTGAGTGATTCGCTTTAATTGTGGCAAAGTTTGTAGTGACAAGCATTTGATCAAGTTGTGATGCCAATATCATGGAAACCTGTTTGAATCTTTGTGCTGATTCACTTTGATTGTATCAGTGAAGTTTGCTATGACAGTTATGTTACAGTGGCAATGCCAGTTGAGTAATATGGAGACTTGTAGGAATCATTTTTATTTGATAACTGATCATGAACTAATAATTATTTTGATAGTAATAGTGTTTTTTTTTTATGATAATTGAGTGTATGTAAACACTCCTAGTTGTTCTTTGGTTCACTATGTTAAGGTTCAAGTAACAATGCTGATAAATTGGAAACAAAATTAATTGTTCTTTAAAATTATAAACTATGTTGTAATAATTATATGAATTTTGTAATGAAAACTGTGCCTTAAGTTACAGCGGTTTGTAAACAGATGGACATATCCTCAGAGATTACTGTCTTTTATTATAATACTTATACAAAGCAAACAATAGAATTAACTGTGTATTGTTTAATGCCACATAATGTAACCTGCATAAGCATAATCATATCTGATTCAAAATTTATAATGTTTTATAACAAAACTATTGTTATTTAATTTATATATCTTCGATTTTAAATATTTACTTATTTATTGCATTTGCATCATGCATTTCATCAGCATCATTTGGCATATTATGTTACTATTATCGTATTATTGTTTGATGTAAGATGTAAGTTTACATTAAAATATAGGAAGTAATTTCCCATTGTGTCGTTTCTTCAACCTTTCCTTTTTCTCAAACTTTTTACAAACTTTTAATTTTAAGTTATACTATTTTCATTTCACCAATGTTTATAAAAGAATAAAGGAAAGATATTTTTCCTAAATTTTTGTAGATTTTTCTTTACATTGTTGCTAGAAATCTGTTAAAATTAGGAGAAGCAGTGAATTTTTATAGGTAAGATTTTTTATTTATTTTTTTTAAGTTAAGATAAGAGGAAACATGATAAAACAAGGAATAATGACCTGCCACCAACAATTGTATTTTCATCTTATTTTTACTAGTCATGCAATAATGCCGGTTTAATTAATCTGGAGTTTTCAACAGTCCGGGCACCTCCAAGTCTCAAATGTGCGGCATAAGTGAAGGTCTATAATGATTTTATTTTATCTTAGCCATTTTTTATATATTCAGTACTCTACCTATATTTTATATCAGAAAGCAATTGTTTCTTTATTTTCGTTCAAAGAAGAAAATTATTATGTTTCACTTAGGCTAAACGTTAATACAGAAAATAAACAGGTGGTTTGGACATGGCAAAACCAAGGGCCTAGATCTAATGAGGTGAAAAATAAGAAATCCTCAGAGGCGGCTATTAGTTTACTTCGATCGCAAAGACAGTTGACAAGAGTAGAAAATTAAAAAAAACTTCTACGAATTACTATTTACTCGAGTTTCTCATACTACTTTACCTACGACTGTTTTTAATTACTAATAATCACTACTCAACACTTCTGAGAGAGGTAGGCCTAATGTTTTTGTTCATAACCTCTCATTGCCACTGAAAGTTATGCAATGATTTACTCATTGTACCTATCACTAATTGCACCATCTGTGACAATTAAATTTGTAAACAGCTGATTAATTGAAGTTCGAAGCATTACAATTTTACTTTATTTCTTTCAATCATTGAACCACATTGGTCCGTTCACGTGTTTTTGAGTGCATAACTAATGCTGTTATGTAAGTAAACAAGTGCATCTTTTCGATTCCAAGAACTAAACTGAATAAGAGTTCTTGGATTCTAGTGGTGATCTTGGACAATTTCAAACTGCTGCTTAAGGGTTAATTATCATCCAAAAATAGTTTTTCAAAAATATCTAGTATACTGTTAGGTTAGAACTGTTGATTGTTGTTTGAATGTATTTCCAAGGGAGTCCATGGATGCCAATGGCCATATTGGATTTGCCCGCCGCGCCGTAAGAGCAATGTTAATTTAGTTATTTTCAAACAGCCGCTGAAGAATTGTTCACCACCTCAAAATATATATTTTTTCAAATACCAAAGTGATTATATAATTTAAATATCTAGTGTACTGTGAAATAATAAATTTTGCTTTGAAGTTTTTTAATTGTTTTGTGAGTTAGAACGGTCGTTGGTAAACTAATTAAAGACATTCGACATTTTATTGCAAAACCCCTAGCCAACGTAGTCAACAGTTCGTTTTAAGCAGGAACGTTCCCGTGCCTATTAAATATCTCCGTTGTGAAAACACTGTAAGTATAAAAAAACAATCAACCACTTGCGATAACTACAGACATATCACTCAAGTTTCATCCATTTCAAAAATATTTGTAAAACGAGTAGGCCTAATAACAAGATTAATACAATAATTAGAAACAAAAATACTATGTTTAAGAATCAATTTGGATTTGTAAAAGGGAAACAAACCATCAACGCAATGTTAACCCTTATAACAAAAGTAGTACGGGCTCTTGACTCAGGAGAGGATGCCTTAGAGCCTTTCTTTGACCTGAGCAGTGAGCAAGGACTTTGATACTGTAAATCAAACGATTAGATCATCAATAAAGTTGAATCTATTCCAGCGAGGGGGTTGGGGTGGCTCTCCTCATACCTTCAAAAAGGGAGCAATTCGTTGAGGTCAGAGGAGTTTGACGGCTCTAGGTGTTTTTTTTTTTTTTTTTTTTAACAGAGGGCCAGGCTTACAAGTCACCATGGGATTGCATCGCAGCTAGAACAGCTTATTGTGCACCCTCGTTCATAGGTCCTCATTCTCCGACAAATCCCAGGTCCTTGGTGAACCGTGAGAGCCTTTTGACTATGGTAACCTGTTCTTCCCTTTGATCTCCCATCAATAGGCCAAGGGATCTCATACGCAGACCTTATAGGGCTGGCCACATAAATATACCTTCACAGCTTTCACAAGGTGGGGGCAAGCCGTAGCGAGATTTCCCTGCATCCACTATCCTCCGTCTTTGCAACTCGCCCCTGGAAAGTCGTTTTTTGTTCCTTTCCGGTTTCTGCGAGCTTGTCGTCATCGTCAGATTTCAGTAGACCTTCCTCCTCCATTTGGGTCAGATCGTCTACATTGTTCTCACGAATACCGGGTACCTATCTAAGTTTACCTCCCCAGTGACCCGATTAGAGAGGTAAGGGGTGCATACGACTGGGTTCCCCCTGGTTCCCAGAAGGCTCCGTTAAGACACTGAATATTAGGCCCCCAGTGCCACAAGACTCTTGGCACGGATCGCATTACACCTTAGTCTAGGGCCCCCTCACTTGGTTCTGTAGGTGGACCAACACCCAGTGGCAGAAGGTAGCTCTCCGCAGCTAACAACAAGTGAGAGTTGTGGTTTAGGTTGTGGCCAATCTGCCGAACCAACCCCGCATGGGAGGTTTGGCCGGAACGGCGCGAAATGTTCTCCCACTCACTAAACCCCCATACCTTCCCGGCTCTGGGTGTGCTCGACCCTTTGTCCCTCTCGAGACATCGTCACTTATGGGGGTTCCTCAGGAATCTGTCCTCGGACCTGTACTGTTTGTTATTTATATCAATGAATTCAAGTGTTTTTGGGGCTAGATCTGTCTTATTGCGGATGATACGTCTTTAGCCCTGTCTGGCTCAACTGCCGAGGAATTGTAATTAAAATCGTTTCTTGAAGCAAACAACATTAAACAGTGGTTTGACTCAAATTTATTAGATCTCAATCCCAATAAAACTGATTGCTCCGTCTAAAAAATGAGTCAAATCCTGTTTTTTTTTACCTTTGTCAAAGTCTTTTTCAAACCTTTTTTTAGGCCTACTACAGTAGTACTGACAAGGGTAACTTTGACGGGAAATCGCTTCTTAATTAGTTTGAAGGATTCCATATTTCGTAGTATGATGGAAGTTTGACCGGAGTCAGTCAACTTCACTGCTGGGGCTGCTATAGCAGTGAAGTTGACTGACTCCGGTCAAACTTCCACCATACTACAAAATATGGAATGCTTCAACTAATTAAGAAGCGATTTCCCGTCAAAGTTACCTTTGTCAGTACTACTGTAGTAGGCCTAAAAAAAGGTTTGAAAGTAGTAAGCTGTCCAAGTGAGCTATAATAAATCTCGCACGATTATTTAGGCCCTGGTTAGCGATTAGGGTTCCAATCAACACGAAAATAGTGTTCATTCTAGCATGTGTTTATTAGGTGACAAATCTCAATGGCCTAAAGAGTAAAATTTACCAGGTACGATAACGTAGCATATTCCATATTTCATATCCAATATAAGCCAAATATATCACGGATCCAAACACTGCTCCCACTCAATGGTCTAGCTAACCCTCCATGTAAAGCACAAAAAGGGAAATTAATTGTTCACTATTTAACACATTGTACGAGTTTCAACCTCACTTATGACTGATCCAGGGACCATCCCAATAGAATTTCTTGCAGTTCATCTAACCACAATGGGTATGTGAATGCAAACATCATAACTTGTACCTGCAAGGCTGTAATACTGTAAAGGAATCCTCTCTTTTATTAAATTAATAAAAAAATTACGCAACAGATCAGTGACAGAGTCTTGCAAAGTGATAGCATAGATAAAACATACTCCCTTATCTCATCCTTTATGGAGCAGCTGAAGCCTATTTTATTGTTAGTTCTGTCCGATGCAATGTAGAGGTCGTGTTTAGTTTACAATTTGTTTCTTTGTTATGTCAGTAATTTAAAACACGTAAGCAAACAACACGATCTAATCATAAAAAATAACTCGTTCCCTAGTTATAACCAAACAGCAAAGCACAAATCATGAATTAACCCTATAATAATACAAACAAAATTTCGTCGACACTAGCGATCAGTGTCGCCGGACACGAGCTATACACGAAAAATGAACTTCAAAATTTACAATGGGATAAGAAGTCTACTTGTGTTGGTTAGTCTCACGATTACTAGAAAAATACATTAGTCCATGGTATAGTTCGGTAATTTATTTATACATAAATATAAGACGATTAAAAACATATCCAAAACTTTATACAAGCAGTCATCTACTTTTATTTGCTCAAATTTTTCTGTTTTTGTTTTCCACAGAACAAACATTTCCCACTGTGGCTAGATGGAAATTCATTTAAAAGTGACTAAATTGAGCATCTGATTTAAATGTTGCCAACATGTGGTAGGTATCTTTTTTGTTGACTCAAACAATCTCCATAAACATTTCTACACAACACACTAATAACACTACGAAATCACATTCATGTTCAAGTATTTTTCACACATACAAGGGATTGTTTGGTTTGGGTAGTGAATCAAAATCCTAACGGATAGTTTTCTATGGTTCAGTCCTTCGGGTAAAAGTAGACCAAATCATCACAAGCAGAAAGTTATGTAATAGTAGTCGACCTTTGAATTTCTCCAGCTCCAGGAAGGAAAATAATCAGGTCAAGGGAAGCCCCAAGCTCTGGAACTCAGAAGTAAGAACATTTTGGAAAGATGGCTATAAGTAAAGAGGAAACGAAAAAGGTAAACCATATTATATTTTAACCTACAATGTTGAAATAATAACTGTTGACTTTTGAGCTTATAACAATTAATACTTTAATCAAGCACTTAAAAATAAAATAAATAAAATATTAAAATATTAAAAATAAAAATCACTGGACAGGCTGTTTTATGCATGGGTAGAAAATACTATAAAACGAACCTATTCAAACATCATAAAAGGTGTTTAAAGCCCTGAGGGTTTTTAGAATTATATAGCCTAATTCAATAAGCTAATTTAATTTCACATAGGCCTACATTTGTTTAAAGAATGAGTTGGTCACTAAAGCTTGGTTTCTCCTTATAAAGAGTAAAAGAGTATTCATATGGATTTGTTAAGATTCATTCAGTGGCGTAGCATACTTTTAATACTTTTCATTAAAATGACGACCATACAAAGTAGGTATTTTATGGTATATTTAGCACCTGAGCTGAATGCTATTCGGCCACCCAGGGGATGTTTGGAGGCCCTCCCTATAAATTTTGAAAGGCTAAATTTGTAGTTTTGTTTTTGTTAATTTTTAATTAATGCTAGTTTTAAGAGTTTCTATCTTTTTATTTGTGTTTTGCCGTCATTGGGTATCTTAAGTCTCGTGCCCGAGTAGGTCCACTCCTCCTTTTTACACCACTGGATTCATAACTTGTCAAATATAAAAGTCCCCCAAAAATTAAAATTTAAAGAAATCCAACAAATAGGCTATATTACCAATACCGTAACTATTGATTTATTTGAAACCCGTAGGAAAACAATAGGAAAAATGAAGAAAACCAGCAAAACAAAAGGAAAAATGAAGGAAACCAGCAAAACAAAAAGAAAAATGAAGGAAACCAGCAAAACAAAAGAGACGAGAAAAAGGATCAGAAGAAAAATGACAAGCAAAAGAAGGGAGAAAAGAAAGCAAATAAGGAGTATAAACCAGGGATGCCATCTTGGATGTATGACCCTTGCCCCCACAGAGTATGGACACCAAAACCAGGGGAGAGAGACAAATCTGAACCTAGAGGGTGGGTAAAAAACCACTCAATTACAATAAAATGTAATCGTTTACGCCCACATGGATTTTTCATAGTATTGTTGAAAGCTATTCTAGTAGTTGTTATGGTTAGAAGTTAAGTACATGGTTCTAAAATCCTAGTATTGAAAAAAAAACAGTCTACAGTAAAACTCATCTTCAGCCACCAACTTAAGAGGACAGACGTTGATCATTCTTTTCATTTGAGGGTAAAAAAATAATAATTATAATGTGGTGCTTAGGTACCTACATTACTACTAAATTAGATAAAGTGCTAGTAAATAGAAAAATATATATTATTTGGCATGACACTTCCTTATCAGTCGATGCTACAACATTTATTAACCTTTCTAAAGGTGTATTTTATTAAAACTGTTATGTAGCCTACAGTAAAAGGTAAAATATCTCAGTTGGCCAACTTCAGCATTGTAGAATCTGATAAAAAAATGAAGTGATAGGTCCTCAAAAACTGTAAGTAATACATAATTCTGATTCCTAGGAATTTTGTATTTGGCTTCAATGCTTTTGATCCAACTTGTAAAAGGAAGATTGTCTTGCTTGGTAAGGAATCAATCTTTTGCTTGTCAACATTCTTGATCATAAAAAAATTACATAAAATATTAATGAAGGAAAGTCACAAATTATATTTTATAATTTGTCATATAATTCTAATTTGAATACTGAGCCCAAATAATTAAAAAATATTGATTGTGGACTTTGTTTAAAACGAATACAGTGAATAAGAAATTAGCAATCCCTGTAAATATAGTTAATTTTTCATTGCGAAAAAGCTTTGAACAAAATTTTGAAATACTGCCAAACACAGCATGTTAATACCATAATCGCCGTTTTAAATAAATTTACACACAACAAATTGGCACAAATTTGAGAGATTAACTGTTCCCATCTATTTTAGTGCTGGAAGCCCATGGAATGAACCTGGAAGAAAACTTGAAGATGTAAAAAAAGAGGAAGAAGAGAAGAGTAAAAAGAAGGAAGAGAAGGCAGCACAAAAAAGGCAAAAAGCTAGAGAGGAAAATCAGAAAAAGAAAGAAGATGAGGAGAAGGCAAAGAAAGAAGAAGAAAAAAAGAAAAAGGAAAAAGAAAAACAAAAGGAAGAGAAGAAAAAAGAAAAAGAGAAGAAAAAGAAGAAGGAAGAAGATGAAAAAAGGAAAAAACAAAAGGAAGAACGGGAGGAAAAGAAAAAGGAAGAGGAAAAAAATAAGGAAGATAAACAAAATAAAAAAGATCAGGATAAAAGTAAAGAAAAAGGAAAAAAGGAAAAAGAGCCTCTCATTGCATCATACATGTACGAACCTTGCCCTCACAAAGTTTATAACCCTGGCCCTGGAGAAAAGGATTTGGCTGAACCAAGAGGGTAAGTTATCGTTCATGTCTGCTTATTTAGCTGATTACTGCAGAACTAAATTAGTTATGTTTTGTTTTGTGTTTACTTCCTACCTATTTAAATAAGACCTAAAGAGATACATTCATACGAATGAGCTGCAGGTGAGTGGGAGTCCTGAGTGCAGCAAAAGCACTTTACGCTCGTGTGACACATTATATTTTTCGTACACTTACTATTAAGCATATGATTAGTCTACTAAGCAACACCTTTTAGATAAGGTAAAATCCAAGCGTTGAACGAAAATAGAATATTAACAGGAAAAAAGTCGTCAATACTCTAAGGCTGTGAGAGCTGCATCAGGTGATCGTAGTCGTGGTACCTTTAGGTGTTGCCAACTTATTTTCAAGCGGACCTACGCGTATTACGTAGGCCTACCTAATAAAAGCGCACTGTTTTGTGTTGTTTTGTTAGAATTCTAGAGTTCGGCAAAGCAAAATGAGTGTGGCAAAAGTAAGTAAATGCAGGAAATTAAATTAGCTACTCTGCGTGCTACAATCAGTGCAAAGAAGCCTGCTTTGTCAGGTAACTGTAGGAAACAATGTACACACGGTAAATAAAACACAACCTATACATTCAATCACAACCTTGTTAATCATACACCAACAACAACACACACAATATCACAATATTCTTGAAGTTTTAAGATATTTTACAAACACATGTTATCATTTAGAAAATAAATGTTTTATGAAACTTTGTGGATAGGATATGATTTTTTTGCTAAACTATATACATTTTAGGGTTGGTAGTCCTTGGTATGTACCGGTAAAGAAAAAGGAAGACCTTGAGAAGGAAGAAGCAGAGAGACAAGAAGAAGACAATAAAAAGAGGAAAGAAAGAAGTAAGCAGCATCAAAAGGAACAGAGAGAAAAAGAACGCAAAGAAGAAGAGCAGAGGCAAAAAGAAGAAGCAAAGCAGAGGAGAAGGGAACAATTAATGGAAGAAAAGAGGGAACAAAAGAGAATAGAACGAGAAGAAAGGAGAAAAGAAAGGGAAAGGGAAGAGATGGAAAAATACATGGGTGAGGGTGTTAGCCCAGACAAAACGGATTTCACCCCTGAGTTGATGCTCATGTTTGATTTCATCAGCGGAATTGATGAAGATCAAAGGAAGAAACGAGGTGAAGCTTTGCAAATGAGAAAGGAAGAAATAGAGAACGAAATGGAATCCCACCTAGCTAAAGAGGCTTTTACCAAGGACTTCAGGGAACTGGTAAGCACATATGTGGAGGCAGAATGGGGAAGGGAGGACAAGAAACTGAGAGAGTTAAAACGAGCAGAGAGGAAAAGGCGCAAAGAGATTTTCAACAATATGGACCCCTTGGCTAAAGATATGATAGCAGAAGGGACAAGGTTCAACTGTTTGTATAAAGGAGCTATGGGTATCCCGGAGAGTAAGAAGGATAAAAGGGGACATGGAGAACCCAGTGTAATGGAGGACATGGCAGTCAGTAGGATCATGGAACAAATGGATAAACTGATGATGCCTCAACCAACATTCAGATCGTTGCTGACTGCTAACCAAGCCAAACATTCCGTCATGTAAACTAAATACATTTGTTGTAAATCATCTGAAAGTTCCTAACATTTTAAAATTAAAATATTTGTATATAAAACATTCTGGTGTTTGTATAAGATTTACAATATATTCTAATGAGATAGATCTATAGCTTTCAAGTTCAGGAAAATTTACTTTCACTGGTCATTTTGTTATTGGAAATAGTTTTTCTGGAACTTTTCATCCCAATTTATTTTGTAAGTTTAGTATTTCTGACAGAACACTTTTGAAAAAGGCTTGTAAAGATTTCATATCAGGCCTGTATTTAAAAAAAATAATCCGAGTTTTACAGTCCATTACTTTTTCCCAAACTCGATGGTTAGGCGAAATTACATTGTTTTCACTAAATTTTATTTTTTCTAAATAAATACCCTCTCCTGTTACAGTACCTACCTTTATATAGATGGCCATTTTATTTCTGTATTAGTGGTGTCTTTGTGTAGGACGGGATGTCACAAAGCTATGCTCAGAAAGAAAGAAAATTTTTAATTATTACAAATTGTTAATTTAAAAGTACGGTACCGGTACATACAAACTTTCTAACGAATGAATTGTGTAGTCCAATATATCAAAATATTTTACTTTAAACGTCTTTAAAAGGCTTTTATTCTGATAAAAATGAAACAGGAATGTTCAAATTTAACTTGTTCATAAAGATTTAAGGGTATTATAAACTAGTAGTACGCTTATTCTGCGCGTAACGGGATGAGTGAACGTGAGCGCAACAATGGAAGAGTCCACCCGCACCTAGCCTACTTACCGGTGTCATTGGTGAACAGAACACAATGTAATTTGTATGGGCAAATCAACCAAATCTCAGTCGACAACAATCCTAACTTCTCGTCCATTAATTAACCAAAGTCATTGGTTGCAGATTCATTAATCTAACTGCCACCAACGGTTCCCACACACCGCACTGCTCACCTTGACTGCTTCCTTCGCCGTGGACCTGTTTCCCTCCCTTCCCATAGCATTTTAGTATAGCAGATACATTAATCCTACTGTCACAAAGGGTTCCCACACTCCACACCTCTCGCCTTGACTACTTCCTTTATCACTTCTTACGTTGTGGACCTGTTTCCCTCCCTTCCCATAGCATTTTAGTATAGCAGATACATTAATCCTACTGTCACAAAGGGTTCCCACACTCCACACCTCTCGCCTTGACTACTTCCTTTATCACTTCTTACGTTGTGGACCTGTTTCCCTCCCTTCTCATAGCATTTCAGAATTGCAGATACATTAATCCAACTGTCACAAAGGGTTCCTACACTCCGGACTGCTTGTCTTAAACTACTTCCTTCACCACTTCCTACGTCGTGGACCTGTTTCCCTCCCTTCCTATAGCATTTTACAATTGCAGTTACCTTAATCTAACTGTCACAAAGGGTTCCGACACTCCGGACTGCTCGCCTCGACTACTTCCTGCACCACTTCCTACGTCGTGGACCTCTTTCCCTCCCTTCCTATAGCATTTCAAAATTGCAGATACATTAATATAACTATCACAAAGGGTTCTCACAATACGGTCTGCTCACCTTGACTACTTCCTTTACCACTTCCTTCGTCGTGGACCTATTCCCCTTCCTTCCCATAGTTTTTTTAGAATTGCAGACACATTATTCTAACTGTCACTAAGGCTTGACACACTCCGGACTGCTCGCCTTGACTACTTCCTTCACCACTCTCTACGTTGTGGACCTGTATTCCTCCTTCGCATAGCATTTTAGTATAAAAATAGACTAACATCTTTGACTATTTAATAGTCAATGCCAACATTAAATTGAATAATATAAAAAGCTGCTCAGTTCTAAATATATACATATTTGTAATGTAAATGTGAATTTTAATACTGAACATAAACTGTTATTTAACTGCCGACTAATATTGTTAAGTTCAATCATGGTTCAATTTATTATTCTGAAAGTTTTGAAATTATAATGATATATTCGGGGAGTATGTTTTATCTATGTATATTCATAGACGTCAAACTGTTTACTCCATGAATGAAAGAGCTTAGAGTAAAAGTCGTTCTCTCTGTCTTAAGTAGAGAACAAAATTGTTGGTCGCAAAACGTAAACAAATAAAAAGAAGAAGAAGGTAGCTTCTAATGTTATTCTTATGGGACAAATTTAAAAATTTATTTTTAGGGTTTTATAATTACTACTGAGCGGAATCGTCTAGGATTTTAATGGTGTCTTTACACTGGTGTCATAATTATCCGTGCAAAATTTGAACGCTATACGTGCAACGGTTCTTGATATCATACATTCATTATTTAGTACCTACTAGCTGTTACCCACGGGCTTCATCCCGTTTGACTTCATAAGTAAAACCATAGACTAACCAACGTTTTATCTAAGGTAAAACCTTGACTTGGTAAATTTTGACTATTAATACAACAATATTGATTATTACTGTCAAGATCCTCCTCCCGTGTTCAATATTTTAATGCTAATGTATACATTTTAATGCAAGACATTTAACATCCCTGGCACGGCTCATTTATTTAGATCGTATTTTAATTGGCTTCGTTGATAGTGGGATTGAAAACGTATCTTCTGCTTCACTGCCGCGAGCCGCTAGTCTAGAGAGTCCATTAGTTACACATGTTCTTTGAACTACTATATGTATATTCCATCCATATACATTTTTGAAACATCATCCTTCACCAGAAAAATATATCTTCTTTTTGTTCACAGCTCAACAACAAAAATCAATTTCGCAATTCTTCCGACCTTGCAATTCCTAATCACTCAACGTCATTCTTCCAAAAGAATTTTCAATACAATGCCGTCAAGATGTTTAATAACTTTCCTCCTTCCCTAAAGACCGAACAGGATTTAAATAGATATCAGAAAAAACTAAAGAATTCTTTGCTGGATAATGCCTTCTGCAGCGTTCATGAGTTTCTTTGCCCGAGAACTGGTAGTGTAAATACAGTAGCATATTAGACAATTTTAATTTATAAGAGAGTTTTTTATATGTAAATACAGTATTTCATTATGTTATTGGGAAAACTCGACCTTTGAGAGGGTCTCACGCCCTTAAGAGTAAGAATTTCAAAATTCTAAAACCTTATTGCAAAACTACACATTGAGACAAATCTTTTGACACCTTAAACGTTGGAATTGGTCCACAAATAAGGGAGGAGTTGCGTTAACAAAAAACGGCTTCACGTATTATATATATAATGGTTTATAATATATTTGACTATGATGAGGACTTTGACTATGATGAGACTAGTCTAAAATATTGAAAAAATATTGAACACGGGAGGAGGATCTTGACAGTAATAATCAATATTGTTGTATTAATAGTCAAAGGTTTTACCTTAGATAAAACGTTGGTTAGTCTATGGTTTTACTTATGAAGTCAAACGGGATGAAGCCCGTGGGTAACAGCTAGTAGGTACTAAATAATGAATGTATGATATCAAGAACCGTTGCACGTATAGCGTTCAAATTTTGCACATATAATATAATATTATATCAAATATTATATTGATTCTATATATATAATACGTGAAGCCGGTTTTTGTTAACGCAACTCCTCCCTTATTTGTGGACCAAGTTCAACGTTTAAGGTGTCAAAAGATTCGTCTCAATATGTAGTTTTGCAATAAGGTTTTAGAATTTTGAAATTCCTACTCTTAAGGGCGTGAGACCCTCTCAAAGGTTGGGTTTTCCCCATAAGAAATACATAGAACAAATTTAAAAACAAAAAACAGCTGTTTATAAAAAGAAACTCCTTAGCTTTTTGGGAGTAAATATTAATGTTTGTAATATTGAGTAGGTTAAGACCAAGTTAAACCGGTAATCAGTTTTGTAGGAAGAACAGAAAATGCCTCAAGTTCAAAGAGGAAATATTGAAAACGTGAGTATGAGACAATTAATAATAAGATATCTTATGCGTATGAGGAGAGTAGAAAAAGATAGGACTGGTCTAACAGACACTCATCCAGATACACATTCACTTGGTGATATGAATAATATTTGCCAGTTCTGCTATACATCGATGGTTGTGCTATGCAACTCACTTTGGAAGTGAAAAAATAATCGAAGGACATAGTGTTGTCACGGTGGTAAAGTAAACTTGCCTAATGTCAGATCAAATGAATAGTATAAACTATATTAATGCCTTGACTTTGACTATGATGAGACTAGTCTATCTATATATATAATACGTGAAGCCGTATTTTGTTAACGCAACTCCTCCCTTATTTGTGGACCAATTTCAACGTTTAAGGTGTCAAAAGATTCGTCTCAATATGTAGTTTTGCAATAAGGTTTTAGAACTTTAAAATGTCTACTGCTAAGGGCGCGAGACATTCTCAAAGGTCGGGTTTTCCTCATAAGAAATACATTGAACAAATTTATAAACATAAAACAGCTGTTTATAAAAAGAAATCTTTTAGCTTTTTGGGAGTAAATATGGATGTTTTAATATTCAGTAGGTTAAGACCAAGTTAATCAGTTTTGTTGGAAGAACGAAAAATGCCTGAAGTTCAAAGAAGAAATATTGAAATCGGGAGGAGGATACAATTAATAAAAAGGTATCTTATGTGTATAATAGCCTGGTCTAACAGATACCCATCCAGATACACATTCACTTGGTGAGATGAATAATAGTATTTGCTAGTTCTGCTATGCAACTTACTTTGGAAGTGAAAAAATATACGAAGCACATAGTGTTGTCACGATGGTGATGTCTTCTGTATCCAATAGTCAATGGTAAAACTATGCATGGTTAAAGCTGAAAGGTTCGAAACAGAATACAGTAGTGCCAACAAATAATAATCACACCTGATTTTAATAAGGTAATAAATTGAAAGAATAACAAATAAACGGTATCAGCATTCTGACACATACTTTCTCCCATAAGTTTGTCAACAACCTTTATCATGTGTAAGCGGTGAGAGTAAATATACGGAAATGGGATTTGTACAATTTTGTTCAGAACTTAAAGGAATATAACATGTTAAATTTTTATCAAAATCGTTCGGGCCTTTTTTGTGAAAATCCGATTTTTCTGTTATTTAATGGGGGTTTTATGGGAAA